ACATCGCTTTGAATTCATCAAACCAAAACAACCAAAACAGCTTTCAGAGTCTGAGTATTGGATAGTATTGATGTACATTAATGTACATTGTCGTTACATTGTAATAAACATTAATGAACAATGACTAGCTTTTCATGGCCTCCTCTCCAGTTCATCTACAACTGCATGGAGGTAGGATGCAACCGAGAAACTGCCGCAGTAAAGGCCGCTTGGTCGCTTAAAACCGACCAGTGGAGTGCAGAGGCTGACCTGATCACCATGACTTTTCCCAAATGTCCACTGCAGATTGTACCTTCATGTACCTTCCTCTTAAATCTCTTAAGTACTGAATAGCTGGTGGAGACTTTTCCGCTGCTTTCCTAAGATCTCCGACGCGTGAAAATCCGTGACGTAGAAATTCCAAGCTCCCTCAGGGTTGACGTTGTGGCTGTGGGAACCAGCTGACAGACATCAGTCATTGGAAGGCAAAATCCAAACATATGCTGAATGAACAACCAGCTGGTAAAGGGTCACACCAATCTAGCATTTCTAACTGCTTTTGTGCTAACTACATACAGTATTGAATCATATGGATGGCCAGGTTGTTTTGGTTTGAAGCTTCAGTTATGAGTAGTGGATAGTGACCAAAAATCTGCAAGCGACCAAAGATACCAAAGTCATCCAAAGTTAAATCTTAAAGCCTTTCTATGAGTCTCTTTTTTAGTGATTTGACGAAAATGTTTATCTGTTTTTTGCCAATCTACGTCCAAATCAAAGGGTCCCAATTTCATCCACGGATCACGCCTCTAAGTAGGCACAAAGATTGATCCCCTGCCTCCACGACCTGACAACTGCTGAACAAAGCTGCTGAGCTGCTGATGGCAGGCTCGATGGCTGGTGAGCTTGTGATCAGTTCTGGTATGGTTGGAAAAGGTTGGAAACTCAACATTCATAACATTTCTATGGTCGAAATGGTTGGTTGATGGTTTCCATCTCTGTCCATGGACAAGATCCATAGAATTTTTAGAGATTTGCTGGGACTGGTGGCTCTGAAACAGCCGAGAGCTTGCTCTTGATTGACGCTTCACCAGTGGAAGTGGAATTTAGCGGTTTCTGTCGATTTTCACCCAAGCCTGTATAAGCTGGAATTTCTAGTTGAAAGAACATGCCAGCTTCAGGGGAAGAATTTGGAAGAAAAACATGGCAGGATACGGAGTAAGTCTCATGATCTTACTCCATCAAATAGGACAACATAGCTGCAACATAGCTACTCATCTCGCTGTTTTTCTGGGCCACCCGAACCCAGCATGACCTGGAATGAAGAGCAAGGATGGCTTCGAAGTGCTGTGCTCTAGAGCATACAAGCTGAAATGCGTGGGTTCCTGCGGTAGAACACCCCGAGGCTTGATGGCTTTCTCTGGAGGATTGTCCCCTTTTTGGTAACCGATTAATATCCAAAGTCAATAGGTTATCATCTCACTATTCATGACCTCGGTTGCATAGTTGTGCATACACATATATATATACACACATGTATCAATACGTTATTTTCCACAATTTTCTCACATAATTACCTCACCAGTTCTGACCATACCCTCTGGAAATCAAACATGGCAATGGAAAATCCACCATTTACAGTTGATTTTGTAATCAAAATCAAAACCTCTACTTAGTTTGGGGATTTTCAACTAATTACCTTGTTTGATGATGACCAGAGGGGTAGAACTTCTAACGGTAGAACCCATTATATCCTGTTGTAAATCCCATAAAATGATGGTTAAATCATGTTAAATCCAAGTTTTCCCACTCAACTTGATTATTTTGGATGTGATTCCCATAGTTTCCTTGATTTCCCATGATTTTCCCATGTCAATACCTGCTTGAACAGGGTTTCCGTGGGTTTCCAGCCGGGCTCCTGGGAGGGTACCGGAATGGTCTCAATCTTCGCGCTGTTGCGGACCAGGTTCCAGGTCCGGTCGTCGTGGTAGGGACCGAAGGCAACGTAGGCACCTGGCCGGTTCCCCCGGAATTTCGCGGCGTGTTTCACAAAGGGAAACTCTCAGGAACCCATGGGAACACCTTGGATCTTGGTGGTTTCAACCAACCCCTCTGAAAAATGATGGAGCGAGTAACAGTTGGGATGATGACATTCCATTCCCAATTAATGTGGAAAGTCATAATCCAGCCATGTCCCAGTCACCACCAACCAGCCTTGGATCTTCCAATATGGTTCTTTTAAGGGAACATCATGGGGCTGACGGCAGATGTTCAACAATTGCTGTGATTTAAGGGAGAAAATCCACCAGAAACCATGAACTCTTATGGATGTCATGGTTTTTTCCCTTGAACCAAATCTCAGAATGAACAAACTCAACTACAGATAGCTACAGTCGTATGTATGTAGTTTTGGTTGTATTATATCCGCAACATATAAGCGGCTGTATAGTTTTAATTGCTGCATTCGGTTGTATTTGGCTCCAGCAAAAGGAAACAACACGTTCGCAAAAGATTCCAAGGCCATGACTGGTGGCTTCAGTGGGAAAATTCAGCAAATCCAAGGCATTCTAAGGCCTATATGGCAATGGATCAATACCTATACATACCATTTTTAGTGGGATGAACATCCATTTACCAGCTATTTTGATGTTCACCAGGGGTACAAGGTTTTGACCCACTGCCATATTTCTGTGCTGAAATTGAGCATCAAATGAAAGATGCCCAGGTTGAGCTTGGAACTTGCTGAAACTGGATTGATAGAATTCTGTTGGGACCCAATTTGAGACCCGGCCATCTTGGCGGTTATACACTTATACAGCCCCGGGTTCCCAATTCAGCACACCTAGCGCGATCAGGAGAATACCTCAGGGTACAGACTGGGAAAAAGACCTGCTCCGTAGGTTGGCAAACCTGATGACAAAACTCATTTTTTTTCTCAAACACCCAAACACTTTTTTCGATGTTTACAAAATTCACAAATGGGTGTACGGTAGATTTAGAATTATGGTTGATTTATTGGGTGTCCTAAATTAGTTGAAATATGTCAAAATCATCCACAAGTCAGAAATGCTGATGGCCACTGCGCTTCAGTCCAGATGCTAAAAACTTCCACCGTCCAATGGAGCCCCATTGGCCGACACACGGCCACTGCGCTAGGACATTGCGACCAGGATGGGCCTTGCACCCAGTTATGGTGAACTCCTGTGACAAGAGGATCTGACAGGTGTGGTGCGTTTGGATGTCCGAATCTTTTGGGGGTTAGTCATGGGGGTACCCACAAATCATCCAAGCCATTAGATCCATTAGACCATGGCTTAGTGTTGAAACCCAGGGTGGCTTGGGGATACCCCCATGACTTAAGAAACCCCCATATGCCTAGTTCACTCGGGTATGCTCGGGTTATCTAATTGCGCGAATCAACACTGATTCGACTTGGATTATCAAACTGTAATCTCTGCTGCATACTTTCGATGATCTGAAAGATGCGCAAAGCCTACATGGCTGCAAAATGCACAAGCACATCGCCACTGCGGGCAGCATCAGTTTGGAAAGAAGATGGTCCATCTGAACCATATTCTCAGTCGAACTAGACCCATCAAAGATCATCAAAGCTCTAAACATCGTCATCAAATCACAATCCGTTTGAGTCAACATCATCAAATTCATCAACAGATTCTGACAGATGGAACTAAATTTCACCACATCCCCTTGTTGATGTTAGTGATGGTTTCAACTTTCAACCCCCCTAACCTCAAGGGCAGGTCATGATAGTCATAGAGGTCCACTACCATCGGAATTAAGAAAACAAACGCGTGGAAGGCACCTGGTTCAGGCCTGGCAGGGAAGCTACAGGGATCGGCTATGGTCATCCATCCCACAATGGGTATTTCATATACCATCTGGTTGTGACTAATAGTTCGCCATGGAGAATCACCATGTTTAATAGGTAAACCATCTATTTCTATGGGCCATCTATACCATGGCTATGTTAAATAACCAGATGGTATACACCACGTGTTTTTTGAAATAGCTGGGAGAACCAAACTCTTGATCTATGTGGGGATCCCACACGTTTCGTTGCCGACTTACAATAGCATCACCGTTATATCACCTTAGTACATCACCTGATGTATGAACACAATATCCGCATCGTCCAAGTCTGAGACATTCTGAGACATCAATTTTTGTGGTAAGCGATTGGATGTCATGGGTCAACACTAACACTTCAAGATGGTTGGTTTCATCAGCACTTCGGAACGCACTTTCTATGGGTTATGACTGCAACTGATAATATATGATAATATCTGATAATGATGCTAATGAATCTCTCATTTAGATCCACTCACACAGTCCATGTCTATCCGTGCTGTTCTTGGTTCCAAATCCACCACTTCCCAACCAAAACAGCCATTCGTTGCGCCTGGGTTCAACTGAAAAACCTGACGCCAGTGCTGACATTTCCCAGCATCTCTGGGCATAGCGAAAAATTCTGTGGCATTAAAGTGCTGAAAATCCCTTCCCAATATCAAAATATCAAATAAATCCCCCTGCACATTTACCAGGTGACAAAAAAAAAGTGGAAATATAAAAAAAGGGATTCGAATTTAATGAAAATTATCAAATGTTCCTGTTCCATACTCTTCCCCTATGGCTTTACTAACCTGCCTTTTTGAGGTGTTTCACAACTATTGGGCCACTATGATGACCCGGCCCCCTGGCTTCCATTGGCAGTCCAGCCTCCACCTCCACCGTAAGAGGATGCGTACCTCGAAGATCTGTGGCATCACAAGAGAAATCACTAGGCGATACACAAAAAAATGACGAAATTATCACAATGGTGATGATGGTGGTGGTGATCAGTAATGGCTTCATTTCTGGAAATTGATGGTGGCTTCATACCGAATTGGTACTGAACCAGGGCACCAGGTTTGAAGCTTCAAACATCTTTAAACAATCATTAGACCCATCGCGACCTGCACAGGCCTTTCCGCGAACGTCGAACATGTGGATGCGTTTGGATCATTTCATCGTGGTATCGTTCCGATTCGATTCCAATCCTCCCAAATCCAACTTGGCCGAGCCAAAAAAATGCAGCCAAGATGCGGGCCGAAACCACTGGTGGAGTCCATCTGGCCAGAAACCATGGGTCCGCTGGGTCCACCATAAGAGAGGTTGGTGCCATAGCCACCGTGATCCTTGGGTCATCTTCAGCTACCGATTTTGGACCCCTGATAGCAGTTGGTTGCTGGGATTCCCATAAGTATGATAATCGTAGTGGTGTATAAATATATATATATATATAATTATTATAGTTATATTAAATACATTTAAATACATAATATCAATAATATCTATATAATTCCCTATTAATAATGATCATCAAAATCATACTGTATTGTCAGCATATCCAATACATAAAGGGTGGTATGCACATGTAAACACAACACACCCCTCAATGCTCACTACTCACTTGGGAAGGCTGGGTTTTGCAGCTGGCATATGATTCACTCATTAAATTCGCAATAGATTCACTCATAGGACGTGATACGTCTCTTCTGGATTTCCCTGGACCACAGGAAAACGACAGGAAAACGACTGGCGGCTGACTCCTGCAGAACCATTCCCGATGTTGTTCTTTGCCGTTGTATGCCGTTGTTGTTGTTAAAGCTTCAATTACAAGAACTCATCCGAAAATAATGATGGGTCACGGGTCAGAACTAATGCACACGGATGCTAAAGGCACTACAGTGCATAAAGGGAATGTAGGCACCATTGCATGACAGAGACTCATATTGCCCGGAATAAATCAAAATTACACCTTCCCCTTTTTCTCATCCAACAAGTCTCTGAGAGCCCATTATCACACATGCTGCCACGCTGATCCGACAACTTTTGGAAAATCACAAGCAGCGCGGAATCATGCGCAATCACTTCCAAGGAAATGATTTTGGATGGAACCAAAACTGCTGGCAAGTTTGTGCAAAAATTGGGAAACCACCCCAGCAGCTATATATGGATTATAAATGTGTATTATTAATATACAATTATACAGTATCTGGCTCACCCAAAAGCATCCCAACATACATTGGATAGACGGAACAACTATGCCGGTAAACCATGAATCCCAAAGCTGGCCCAATTGACAAGCATCGAACTGTGGCCCGGTGGGCGCCATGCTTGGATCCGGCATGCCATAGCCGCTGGGCGGCTGGAACTGCTCCTTGATAGCATGGAAGAGTTTCACTTAAACACCCCAGAAACGGACATGGCTCAGAAAAAAAAGGCTCAATCCGCCTGCAAGAATTTGTCATATTCAATACATGTTCAATATTGAATCACGCCATGGAAGCAAATAGTTTGAGACGGAGCCAAATACTTGAGAACATAAATTGCCCCGATTGGCCTGGTAAACCCCAAAATCATCTACAAGGGATGGTTCTTAGAATTTTTGGGATTTGCTCACCGGGAGCCATAAAACAGCACTGACGCGTGACATTTAGCTTCGCGTGCAAGTGTAACGACACCCGAACACCCGCGCTCAATGCCACCACCCAGTAGCAAAAAATATTATACCTTCAGAATACAACTTATCCTCCATGCAAAAAAGAGCAATACCCAACCACAAGCAAGCTGAAAATGATTGATCTACTTTTCTACATGTTCATGATTGTTCATGCTTAATCCAGTCTATATGGAGGTTTCCTAAAATGGTGGTACCCCCCCAAATCATCCAAATTAAGGCCATTGTTGTATTGAAACCTATTGAAACCTATGGTTTGGGCGAACCCCCATTTCAAGAAACCCCCAGATTAGTTGATTGATCCCCAAAAGATATAAAGCCGGCCACATCAGTTGCCCAGTCTCCGTCGCACCAGCAGCTGACATACCTTGCTGATAGTCCTGGGAGCGCTGGCCACTTTCAGCGCTTCTCTGCTTTAGGAAAAGAAGAGCTGAAGCAGAATATCTCCAAAATGGAGATCAATATGTACTAGATAAATCATGATAAATCATGATAAATCATGATAAATCATGATTTATCTCAAGATAACCAGATGAACGCCTCATATGAAATCCGTTGCATGAGACTAGTTCAAGGAACTCGAATTCAGAGGACCAAAATCGATGGAAGCCGGTGAAGCCACGGAGCCCTGCAGTGCAATCCCCTACCATGCCGTTTTTTCACCCCAGAGTCGATTCACTTTAGCTTACCCTATCTTACCCTCTGGTAAACATACAAAAAACTATGGAAAAATCCATCATTTTTCATGAGAAAATCATAGAAAATCCACTATTTCGACTGGGCCATGTTCAATAGCTATGTAACAAATTACCAGAGGGTACATCAATTTTGGACCACTTCAAATTGCTTCTAACATCCACATACATCTATCATCATCTATCATCATCTATCTCCACCATGGCCGAAGCTAAGCTTCCCTAAACAGTGACCATCCAACCCGTTGATCTCCTGTTGTCCAAAGCCATTGGCCGTTCCATATCCGGGAGAGCCATCCCAGGAAGTTGGAGACGCATCGGACCACGCTTCACCGCCTGCGATGCGGAGATGCGGATCTTTGGGAAATCCACAACTCCCTCCATTTCCGGATGTCCATCTGGTTATGACATTCACAGTTCGCCATGGAAAGATCCACCATGGAAAATTTAAGTTCGGTAAACCATCTATTTCTTTCGATTAGGGCCATCGAAAAATCATGGCTCTGTTTGAATAACCAGATTCTCCCGCCACTCCAATGGCCTGCATCCCAACTGGCCTCCAAGCGACGTGCCCAGGATGGGAAAATTGACCCAGCGGAACACCAAAAGGGGAAACCGAAATGGGAAACAGCAACAGAGTCCTTCAAATCCATGAAAATCTGTGCTTTCGCAAGAGATTCTCCATAGGAAATTCATGAGATTGAGTAGCATCCAACATGCTGCGGTGCGGGTATTTGTTCTAACTCTGCCCTACATCGTTTGGAGACAGCATGAGTATGGATTGTATCACATTGTATAGCTGTATAGCGCACATCCGTACATACAACATATGATATATCTGTATATATATATAGTTATATTATGTTATATTGTTGATGATGACACATGTGTAACACACACGCACACAAGACATGCATGTGAATAATTATATATGTGTAAATAATTATGTATATAATATGCAATAATCAATTCAGTTTCCCCTTAGAAGCTCTCCCCCCGCCATGCCCAGCATCCTGCCTGAGTCATGTCTTGGGTCTTCTTGCGACTTTTTTTCCCCTGCACAACAGACAGAGATGTCTTGGGAAAAAAGCCGTGGATATCAATGGTATCCTGTGCAAACTCAATTTGCCAACATGGCTAAGCATGCCATACAAAAAAAAGAAACACACCAGACACACCAAAACCAAAACATGGATTTCCATCAGCAAAATCATCCGTAAAACCAAAATCTGCCAAAGATGATCCGTCACATGCTATTTGTTGGTACCAATCAACTTCAATCGACTTCAAATGTTGTGGTACCAAACGACTCCCAAATATAACCAAAGGTTTTCATTTAAATCTGGCCACTAACCAAAATATTACCAAAATACTACTGATCATCTATATAACTGATATATATATATATAGATATCATATAATCAGTTACCATCTCTTGCTGTACCACTGGGGAAAAAAACATATCAAATCCAACTCAGCTGGTGTTCTGGTGGCCTTCAGTTCCCCAACTTCCCAAGCCACTTGGGCATAGATACGAGAGATCGTCTACTGTAAATCATCCACCATTATATAATTATGTATAATATGTACATATATATATAATATATTATTAATTATACATATCCCCATAAACTGGATGATAATCATTCACCATCCCATTCTCAAGCCATTCTCAAGCCATTCTCAATCCACATGGATGTCCTGCGCCCAGGTCTCCAGCTCCGCAAAGGAGGAAGCCAGTTCTGCCAGCGAAGAATTTTTCGCCAGAAAATCATGGAATGATGAGGAAAAAAAACATAAAAAATGGTCATTGGTGTGTACTCATTGGTTGACTCTTGTGTTCTTCGAAGTCAAAAATATATAAAAACATCACTGTTTTCCTTAGCCAGGAAAAAGCGCACAAGGATGACTGAAAAAGTTGCCTTGAGAACGCTTCTCTTTTTTGTCCTTTTTGCTTTTCTTCTCCTGCCACAAAGTCCCGGCAGAATTTAAGCATGGGCAACTGGGCAACTCTACCAGACTCTACCATCAAAACCTGTATATGGATGGTCCGTGAGACATGTGAAATTGATGTCCAGCTACAGGTATCGTATCGATATATGAGCTTATCTGAGAAAGGGTGCCCATGAATCCATTGATAAATCATTATCCCTACTAGAATTGCAGTTCGTATACCCCATTTCAAGACACACCATATGTTGACGGGACATGATCTAATGAGATCGCAACCCTGCTCATCCTTGACCTCAGACTTTGTTTCCTTCTCCTGCAATGTCTCAACCCCCTTGGGACTGCACAGTAATTGATTGCGTTTGTATTCGAAAGCAAGCACCTTTCAATTGGAAAGCACTGATTCTCATTGCCAAATTGGTTTGCCGAGCGAAGTTTAGAAAAGATGCCAAGAGTCCCTTTCCATGTAGAGTGGCATGTTTTGCTGTCTTCTGCTCAATTCAAATCCATGCTTTCAACTTGCTTTCGGTGTAGGGGCTGAAGTGACCAACTGCAGTGAACCTAAGCACGAACACAGAATCTGTCGACTTGGGTTTGCATGAACCCTCCAGTCATCCTTCTCTTTGTCATCCTTCACCTTCTTTTCTTTACCTTCCTTTTTGGAAGGACTTGTTTCGCCCTTTCTGTGCTTCTCTTTATTCCTCAGACAGCATGCAGCTATGCTGCACACCTTCAAAAAGGACCGAAGACCCAACCTACTTCCAAGCCAAACCCAGTGAAAGCTACCCAATGACTTAGTGCTACTGCACACTCTGAGCCAACCCCTGCAGCCCCAATGATCCATGAATATCCATGGTCCAAGCTTCTCTTTGTCCTTCTTAGAAGGACTTTTCTCCTCCAGGGGCTTCTCCTGAAGTAGCAGTCCTTTCTATTTGATCACCTTTTCATGGGGAAACTGCAATGGTCTAAACACCACTTAAGGCGATGTTTAATATCCCCTAAAATAGGTATGTATAGGAACACCACAGGTGATATTATATTCAGCACCCGTAAAAAAACAAGGGAGATGTCTAGAAGCCTCCCAATCTTTACCTCACAAGCTGGCCCCAAACCATCTGAAGAGGTCTCAAGTTTAGAGAGTTGCGGGTCAGCCTTCCCCAAAAAAATAACAGGCATAATCTCAGTAGTATGTGGTTGTATATAATATATATATAGTATATATGTAGATACCTTACAAACCTCAAACCCCAGGTTTTCTGTGCCCAAATATGAAGATCGTAAGTAATGATATGTATATATAGCAAATCTGACCAGCCAACCTTAGGATCCTAGGTCCCTCACTGCTTAGGCACGTTTTTTTTGTTTACAACGAAAAAAAAAAACGCACCTCTGTCGCCTTCTTTGGGTCACGCAGCGATTCGCCTGGACATAGATTCACATGTCATGTATAGTGAATTTATACTGAATAGATACTATATGATAGCGTATCATCTCATTACATAGATATTTTATGGAATGTTTTAGGCTGTTCATATATTCAGAAATACAAGTTCTGAAGGTAATATTATGTCATCTATCTATATATATTATATCTATTATCTATTTTATATTTATATATTATCTATATTTTATATCATATCTATATATTATCTATTATGATGTAGATTTGATCTGACACTAATATGGTGTATCCAAGCGGATCACCTCCAAGCGGATCCCTTGGATCACCAAAAGAGCGTTGCGGCATCGGTTTTTGTCATCCATGGTGTAACCGTTTTCCACACCGAAAGGTTCTAAAAACATGGAGGATACTGAAGTTAAATAGATGTTCAATGATGTTCATACCACCCTTAAATTGCCAAATTGGGTCGCAGAAACTGGGGATGGTCTGATGGCTTTGATACGCTACCTGTCAAGGAAGATTCATGTATCAGTACCGCTGGAAAACACTGCGGGTGTCCCACAAGTGTATCGCATTGACTGCCAGTCACATGTTGATGCTTGGGGTATGACGTCGATCACCAACCAGCACGGCAAAGCAAAATGTGTCTCTTCAAACTTTGCAGTTGTTCTTGCAATACTAAACAGTGTGAAACATATGCTGTGAAGAACATGAACTGATGAGGTACCAGTACCAAGATGATTGGAATTTGACCAAAACTGAAAACCACAACGTCAGCTGCAACATTTTTTGTACACATTCGGAGTGCTCAAAACCCACCAATCCCCAAAAAAAATCCCTCACCTCGCGCCAAGCGCACATGTGGAGGGTCAACCCCAGGTTGAGCATATTTTTTGGCCTCGTATTTGGCACCTCAGATCACCGAAGCGGTGTGGAAGTCAGTGAAGCCACACACGACTTAAATCATTTCAATCACCGAGGTCATGAAAGGTCCCATTCAAACCAGGTAACCATCACTCAGCCATCATAGAGGAAGAACCTGCAAAATGTAATGCAACATAATACAACATAATACAACAGAATACAACAGAATACAACCATATTAAGGTGATGTTGCAACTCTGCAACTCCCCCGAATGCGACAACACTGGCTGTTAAAACCGCCAGTGGTTCCAGTTGGGAAAGTCTCAGTGGCTCCTACCGGCTCCATAGCAACAGCTCCCAACGGATCCCATTGTGATAACTATTGGTTGTATCCCAAGAAATTCTCTAGGAAATCTCCCCTATTATATAATCCTCTATTGTTATATTATGAAATATTCTTTAATGGATCCCTATTATTATTCTCTATATATTCCCTATTGATATTAGTGTAATAGGATCTATTAAAACCCCTGTATTACTATGTTAATGGATATTAATGGATATTATATTGGTATCCTCTATGGATTATCCCCTTTTTGTTACGACAAAAAAAACGCCGCGGCGCGGATCCAGCGTTCCAACTTCTTGGCCTCGACGTTGTCGATCTTGTCACCTGAAGGATCAGGCAAGTCACTGCGCTATCGGCGTGGCATGGGGTGGGGACATCATAGCAACTTCTATAGAGCTATAAAGATATGGGTCCACTTAACAATCTATCAACATTCTATATCAACATATTCTCTTCAACATACATTTAAAAAAACCGTGCAACACTATAGTGAGATGTAGAGAATTAAAACACGATGATGAAAACATAAAATGATTTTCAACACTATGATGTAAGAAACAAAGAATGGGGCACATGGTGGTCTTTTTACCAGTTTTAGCAGGTTTTATAACATGTATAACATGTGTAAAACAAGTGTAATTAATCCCTTCCCCCTAGTACTAAACCCCTACAAATAATAAAAACTAGTGTTCGTCTCCAATTTTGGAAAATTTGAGGTTGGCCAATGTGATTTTTAATTGACTCCCTTTAGAAACAATTTAAAAATGAAGCTACCATTCCAGGGTTTCACCCCCTAATAATAAAAACTAGTCAACCCTGGGGTGTTTTTTATTGGGGTCCGTCTTTTAAGGTCGAAAAGAAAAATGTATTTTATACTAAGGATTTTAATTTAATATGAGGGGAAAGCTTCGAAATCCAATTTTTGGCAATATTCCAATTAGATTTTAAAAGAAAGTCTAATCGATTTTGAAATAGAACAAAATAGGTTTTTATATTAGGGTTTTAAACTTACTATTAGGGGGAACACTAATAATAAATACCACCTAATAATAAAAACTACCTGAAGTGTTTATTATTTGGGGTGACGTTTAGTATTATGGGGAAGGGATTATAACATGTGATAGTTATCATTAAGCGCATCTTATAAACCAATTTCGTTATATAAACAATTACCTGGTAAATAATCCTAGTTGGTTCCATTCATTGGTCCAAAGAGAACATCCCTGAAAGCTCTTCATTGGTCCGCCGTCAACTGGGCGCTGCACCGGCAGCACTTTTGACACCCGCGACATACTTCGACCCAGGGGGGACGCTGTACCTGGTAAAGAAACTGGGAGACGAATAGGGACAGTGTCACCTGGAATTTCACATAGTTCGGACCGCCTCCAGATATCTTTCAACGTCTTTCAACATTTCACACAGAACTGGGTGTCGCATCGTTTCAACATGATGATACAGTGCCAAGAAGAGCCATCGGACAGTAGTAAACAACAGAAAAACCGAAAACCAGTGAGAGATCTTCATAAAACGTCTGTAAACCCTGCTACCCCCCAGTTGTCCATAGTGCCCAACCGGTTATATACCCATCTCACCCAGCTAAGGTTGGGCACTCGTAAAAGCCATTGGACACGAGGTTGCCGATGTTTCGCACAGGAACCAGAAACTGGGCACAGTAGTGCAACAGGGGTAGACTCCAAGCCTCCAAGCCTATGATTTCCCTGTTGGTAAGTGACCAACTAAACAGGTAGAAGGTCTCAATGTAAATCTAATACCCTCTGGTTATTTAACATAGCCATGGAAAATCCCTTATAAATGGAGGTATTAATGGGAAAATCATCTATTTCTATGGACCATTTTCCATAGCTATGTTAAATAACCAGAGGGTAGCTTGACTAGATGAGCATGATTTCCATAGGCATCTCATAGCATCCATCCATCAGGACCCATCCTGGCGCCTGATCATTGTCCCACTTGTCCATACGGGTCGACTTCACCTTGCAGTCAACATGACAAGAGCAACATGACCATTATATCTGGTACAATGAAGCTGTGCAGGAACTATAGGTCAGCAACTGTCAGCACTAATTGTATCTAGTTGTGTATTGATCGTTTTCAGCTTGAATGCAGGTTCGCTTCCTTGTTTTAATGCACAAGGCCATTTGTAGCGGTGCACACGACAGTGTATCCTCGAGCCTGTCAACCGGAACCACAACAACTCTTTGATGTTTGGATACCCAAATTTCAACAAAAAACAATTGTAGAGGTTAAAATCAACAAATCCCCCTAAATTTTAGGATATAGATGGATAGAGTATCCACATCGCCCTAACTTTTTGGGCGGATCAACAATCTCGCCTTGGAGATATGTGTCCCCAGGCCCCGGTGCATCCCACAGCCTGGCGGTCCGCGAAAAAAAGGCTGGCGATGAACAACGTCTTAGGGAAACATTCTGAAAAAAAAAATAGATGTAATACATGTAATACATGGTGTCTTTAATTTTAATATATTTTAATTGTTGAACATGTATAATACATGTTATACAGTTATACATGTTGTTCTCAAATTTAGGATTTCTGCGATATCTAATGATCAAAAGACAGATTGAACAGACCTGAAACATCCCATTGGTGGGTAAACAGTTTTTAGGCCGTGTGGAACACCAAACGCCAAGAAGATTACTAGATGTCATCGATAACCGGCAGCCAAAATGTTGATGTAGATCAAATTTGTTGTTTGAAGACACCTCCTGATGGGTTTCAAGCTCGTTTCCTGGCATTATATATATATATATATTATATAAACCATGTCACCCAATATTTTCCACAGCACACCCTACCGCCGAGCAACACTTCTCGCAAATGAGAATACCAAGGTTCCTCAGACATTGACAATGGAAAAATTACGGAACAACAATAAACACCATCTGGTTATTTAACATAGCCATGGAAAATCACAATTTTTAATAGGTAAACTAGGTAAACCATCTATAAATGGGCCATTTTCCATGGCTATGTTAAATAACCAGAGGGTACATGCAATACCTCACAGAACTTCAACTTCTTTCACAAAAGGTTGCAGAAACTTCCCGTGGGAGTTCCTCTCATTTTTGCCATCCTAGGTGAAACAGATCCTTCAATTTTGGATCCTTGGGAACATTAGGCCCATCGAAAAAAGGGACAGCCACATCTGGCCCCGAAAATACATCTGGCCCCATGGCAAAATATCAATACCCTGCAAAACAGAGTATACACCCAGATTATTCCGGATTCAGGGTCAACAATGAAACCCTCACACTATCCTTCAGTAGTTAGTTTACTCAAATACATTCAAATATCAAACAGCCACTGAATATCCAACTTTTCTTGCTGGTAACTTACCTCCATGTTTGCTGGTTACGTTAAGTTATTCTTTGGCTATTGATGTTTAAGTTCAAGCTTTGACTATTGCGAGGTTACATCTTCATGGTGAATCCCAAACCCCGTCGCTTTCAGAAACCCGAGCTTCCATGATGCCCACGTGGGCCCTGCAGCACCGCAATCAGCACATTCCTCTGCGACGAATGACAGAACTCATGGGACATCAAACAATACATATATTGACAACATTGACAATATCATACTGTATTGGATTTAACATATTCAACTTGATTCAACCAATACTTGACATTCAAGTATCTTGGTGCACACAAAACCATGATCAGAAAATGGGTGGAAAAAAACGGTGGACAAATCTTGCCCAACTGGAGGTTTCTTATTGGCTTTACGGTTTACATGTTTACCACATTGTGGATTGGAGGAGACCCTCCCGTAACATGGGTCTCTTATTTGGGTCACAAAAAGGGACTCCGCATCCTTCGAAACTCCGGCCTTGTTGCCGGGGACGTCGAAGATGTCTTCCGGGGCTCCTAGTTTCTTGTTCCGGGACATCACCTCGGCCGATTCCAGCATCCATCAACTGAATCTGCAGATCCACATTTCCTGGTTGGTGGTTTTAACATGTTTTAACCATCTTGAAAAACATTAGTCAATGGGAAGGATTATCCCATATATGATGGAGGCCCCTTTTGAGTCCAAGGCGTGTCGTCGAGTTTCACTGTGGCCATCGATTCCGTTGGATCCGGTTGGATTCACAGTCGGAGCTGGCCATCGTTTGGGCCAAATGTGTGGAGTACAGTCATGTTCTGCCAAAATGGAAGGTCCTCACGGGTCCCGGGGCATGTGATATTTTTTCGAAAAAGGTTCTTGTTGGTGACACAGATGGCTTTGTCATGTACTCTTGAACTTCTTTGAATGGTTCATGGGATGGTATGGCTACTTCTTTTTGTTTTTTTTGTGGAAATGATGGCAGTAAAGATCCTTTTTTTCCTGATTCCGTACTCATGCTAGGGACATTGCTTCGAGCAAATGCACTTCTGTTCCACAACTCATGCAGCATCGTAGCTTCTCGACCTTCTACATGAGGCAACCGCTATATTAATGTCCCTTGAGCAAATGACATTTGCAGCATGAACGGCATGAACCTCAAGTTTGTTTGCTGCCATGGAGCAAACTCAACACATGTCATATAGCATCGTATCTTCCCAGAGCCGAGGACAGGAAACCATCTTGACAAGGACAGAATCAATTTGAATCCCCACGTGTTAGCGAAGATGCAATACACAAATGGATTGTGGAATCTAAACATATCCAGTAAATTCAGTAAATCTCTAGTAATTATATAATATTATATATATACAATATTGTTGGATCCTACAAATACAAAATCAAACATACTATAGATATCTATAGATAAGTTGTAGATTCCACATCTCACACTCAAAACGCAAGAAATTTTCACGCACTTCTGCGCGATTCTTCCGGGCCGTTCTTCAGCCTCCTTGCATGACGTTAACAAAGGAGTGGGTGCTCGATTGGTTGACTCTCTGGTCACCAAGAAATATACCTCTTGAACCTCTCATGGAATTTTTGAAGTCCTGTTTCGCAGTGATGTTGCTGATCATGTGTTATCAATGTTGATCCATTTCCACGGGGTATCTTAGAAACCTGAGGTCCAACATGACCACTGTGAAATGCTCAAGATCCACCAAAAAGCGAGAAGAAACGACAATCCACAGTGCAGTGTGCAAAGATTAGTTGTTAGGTATCTGTGAATATCTGAATATCATATAAATATAATCGATTGCAATGTATGTCTATAGTCTATTAATACATCTGTAAAATATCGTACATATAGGATAGTTCTACAGAATGAACTGCAAGTAGCAAATTAATAAACAACTAATCAATATTACAGAAATTACACAAAGATACAATGTACATAAATTACACATTTACTTACACAAAAAAATGGTAAATCGATACATATCACACATGATTCACGACATGTATCGACACCGACTTCCAGGTCGAACCAACAGCCGAATTCACTCACTCCCTGGGCTGATCGCCAAGGGGGTCACCGTGGAGCGAAGATGCAGACAGTTCTCAAATGGTGAGAATCCCAGGGTTCAAAGGCCCAATAATAGCAGTAAAAGTTTATAGAGATAGATAATATAATGATAATGATAATTATGATAATTTATAGTAACTGTAATGTATTATAATGTAGTAATGAAAAAAAGTACTAATAATCAATGGTATTCATAATCAAAAAAGATGTACACATATTTCAAGAGTAGTGGTAATAACAGTAGTAACAACGATAATAGCAATACGAATAATAACTATATAGTAAAATCATGCCATGTGACCTGATATCTAACACATGTATCAACTATTGGCACACTATATGCTTTACTTCCAAATAATGTGGCAAAAACCCAGTAATAAACCTCCAATCATATTTATGGTTCATCCTTTGGTTTAACGCATTGTGAGTGAAGTGGCAGCACACGATTCTATAATTGTGGTCATCCTTTGGCTTGTTTCACAGCCTTTTTCGGCGCATTCACTGGGGAGTTTGTTCGATCGCCAAGGGTTTTGTGACAGTTTTTCTCAGTCACATTGGATCTTTCAGATCTTTCAGATCTTTCAGCAGCTGAAAATATGGGTTTTAAACGAATCTTGTAGGCGTAGCAGCTATTTTCAAGCCCTAAGATCACTGACTGCTCGTCCTTGGGGATCAACTTTCCACGGTTTTTTGCATCTGCACCTTCGATCGGGTTGACTGGACACCGGAGCCGGAGTCCAACAAAAAGTTCCATGCGATCTACGGCGCAGTCGACTTCGCAGATGGGATTGGCGGTTTGATGTTGGGCCAACAGCATGGATTTGCCACAAACACAAAAGAAATCATGAAAAGATATTGGATGAAAATGATGGTCGTTTTTCATTTGAAATGATGATATCCCATGGTTAAACAAATGATGTCATGCTGAAGAGATATTGGATGTGGATGATGCAGTGCTAAAAAACTGTTGTTCCCACAGGTCCATGATGAGATCCAGTCCGCGTCTCATTCTTTGGCGTCCCGAAACTGAGGTATTTACACACAAGTTATATGGCAATTTCATGGGGCACATACATGGGTTTCAGCGATGCATCAGCCATGATTCAGCAGTGGGATACCAGTGGGTTCAACGGGTTTCTCAACATTTTCAGACTCATATTGATCAACAGGATGCAAGCCATTTGTGGCTGGGCGAATGTTCACCCCGCTGAAAGGAACAGGCAATTTCACAGGAAACATTTCAGCCATAGGGTAGAAACATGTAGAAACCATATGCCATGAGATTTATCAAGCTCATCAATCTGACATAATCTGAGGAAGACAATCGTTGCACCGTGCTTTTTTGTGTCCCAAACTTTGGAGACTCACAGCATGAGGCGGAACCAACCCATCTCTTCGGTTGGCAAAAAAAAATGCCTCGGTTCTTGGTCCAGTTGGCTGAACCTGGTAGCCGCATTTCTGGCCGCTGGTGCCACTGTTTTGTACCAAACCGTCCAATTTTTTGGGTACCAATCTCCTATATATATAATAAATGATAGTTTTAGTGTGTTTTACTGGGAAAATCATCTCTAAATGGTAGATGTTCCATGGTTTTTGACACAGTTTCTCCATATGTGGGAAGTGCATTTTTATAGGGTTATCCCACCAAAAAAACTGGGGAAATTTGGTCACTTACTAAGTGGGATGAACCACCAAGTAGTTACCCCCTGGTAAACTAACATAGCTATTGAAAATGGTAATTTATAGTGGATTTACCGATCAAAAATGGTGATTTTCGAATAGGCTATGTTAGTCTAGAGGGTATTGTGTTTCAACATCCAATTTGGGACAATGAGACCTTGAGGCATAGTTACTTCTTATTTGCGTTGAGGGTGAAAAATGTTTGCCAATCTTAAGGGACGGTCTCGTGGCCAATGAAAGTCATGTGTTTTTTTCTCAGTATGACTCATAAATATCACGGCGACGAATCGTATTCCCCTATATCTTTATATATGTGTTCCAGGGCCCCAAACTCCCAAACCTCTTACAAAATCTTACAAATATTCCCCAGTCATGAGTCAAAGGTCACTCACGTTCACCAGAAAAACATCACTTGGCGCCGAGTGAACGCCACTCTTCATCTGCACTAGCGAGGCTGCACGCCGGCGGCACCTGAATTTCGAAGGACCTGCAAATGTGCACGGCTTCAGCAGCTGAGAGAAAAACTCTATTGACTATAGATATAGTGGATATCAATCTGTGTATTTATATATCTATATATAATATTATATATATATATATTATAGTATGTAATGAGCAACTATGGATGTAAAGTCATTTCAATATAATTATATATATACAGTGGTATTACAAACGATATGGTATGACATGACATGAAACATCGGGATTAATGGCTGTTCCATGCTGTTCCTGCCCCGCATCGCTGGAAGAGCACCCCGCCTTGGGTCGCTTCAAATGCCAAAGTGGTATGGCAACGTGCAAAGGAGGTAGCTGGGGATCACTTCCTTGCGTCCAAAACGTGGACTACACCAGTTTCGACCATGTTCCCTTTGTCAGTTTCCGAATCTTTCCAAGATGTTCATGGATTTTCTTGGATTTTCGTGTCTGACAGATTTTAAAGGTTCAAACTTGGGGAGATCAATCCGTTGATCTCGTCTGATGGATAGATGGATTGATAATCAATGGACTATCCATATATATGTGTATATATATATATGTGATATTCTTACGTGTATATATATATAATAGAATATCCATATCCAGCCTCTTTTTCATTCCATGATGAAAAAAAATCTACTGGTTGTTTTTCCGGGGATTTCCATTGATTTCCCATGGATGATAATCCCAAATATATTGGACTTATGACTTGTCCTATTGAAAAATGGTGATTTTCCATAGTTATGTTAAATTACCAGAGGGTACCTCTGCTGACGACCAACTCATCTTCCATCCAGGTGTCAACCTCTTCCTGTCCCACAACTTGTACTTTGACCTGCGAAGCACAACGAGGAAACCCTGAACATCAATGGGGAGGGTTACCCATTCCCCCCAAAACCAATAAGAAAATTAGTATCACATGTTTTAACCCCGTGAAAGAGTCGGGCTTTATGGTTTTTTGATCCTGGGTGAACATGACTATTTGGGCGTGTCGAAACATTGCTGTGTTATGGCGAAATCAATGGCATCGCGGCATCGCATTGATCAACCAAAGGCCCAAAGGGGGTGATCTGACCAGTTGGTAGATGGTAAACTTCTCATCCCTCCGCTATTTATACTGTTGCATAGTCTATTGCATAGTTAATTAATGTTAATTACCTAAGAGCTACAAACTGGTGCTGGATTTCTTCCATCCACAGTATCATTACAAAGTCTTCCTTGTAAGACGTGCAATCACACACCCGAACGGTGGCGTTCGACTGTGCCTATGACATTCAATATCCAACGCGAACGAACATGTTGGTTTCTTGTATGTCCCCCAGCCAACAAAAACTTGTTCAACAAGCGCACTATAGAAAACCATTGTCGGTCTGTCCATATATGAATGTCCATATATTAAAGTACATATAAATGATTTAATGATATTTAATGTCCATACAGCATTGCTGTGGATCATGGTTATGGTCCCTAAACATGGCTTTTACCCTCTGGTAAACGTTTACATAACTATATGGAAAATCACCATGTTTATCCATTTTTCATGGGTAAATCCACTATTTCGACTGGGCCATGGCTTCAATAGCTATGTCACAAATTACCAGAGGGTATTTCCCGAGAGAATATCCCCATTATTTATATACATACCTAATATACCATCAATCCATCATTTATTAAATTTATTGTGATATATACATCCATGGGGATACCTAATATCCATGGGCATTTATTAATCCATAAATGGATTTATTATGATTTATCATTATTTATTATCAATCCCCATAATGGTCCAAACATGGCTTTTACCAATGATCTATCCATGGGGGCCCCTGGAAGAACCCAAGATGATCCCATCAGGGCCGGAAAGTTTCACGCCACGCCTCCACGACGGTGTCAGGAAGTTCCTGGTCATTCTGGGTCGGCCTGGGCCACTGGGCGATGGCTACCCAGATATCTAATGTATTATACAAATTATACGTAACATTACATAACTAATCATAACTACACAATGATATGAACATATGAAAAATTATGTGTAGTGTGTATATATAATGAATAAATAAACATTTTGAACCAGAATAGTATCTAGATATCTAGTAGATTGTAGTAGAATATCCCTCCCTTTTTATTCCTTTTATCCCTCCCATGGTTCTCCGCCGACCTCCCTGGCCCCCAAGGGGCCCCGAACAACGTCGCTTCCTCTCCGGGCTCGTCCGAGCTCAGCGCCGCCGTTGCCACCGACCGGGAGGCGGAGGCATCTTTGTCCTGGGAAAACCATCGGAAAAACAAAGATGAATCAAAAACTTTGTGTGAATCATATGGGAAACATATAATCATCAAAATCATCAAGCAAAAAGTTTGATTCACATTTTCCCATTTTCCCATATGATTCCACAAAGCATATAGAAACTCTGTGTGAATCACATGGGAACATGTAAAAAAAATGTTCGCAACTGATTTCTGACTTTGGGCTTTCTGACTCAGTACCAATTTGTTGGGGAATGATTTCGATGATGGTGATTTCAGAAATGGATCACTAATGACTATAACTGGTTGGTGGTATACTGTTAATAATGCTTAATATTAATGGTTATTAATATATAATGGTTATATAATGCTGGTTAATGACTATAACTGGTTGGTGGTTGACCTACCCCTCTGAAAAATATGAGTTCGTCAGTTGGGATGATTATTTCCAATATTGGTATATGGAAAAATAAAAAATGGTCCAAACCACCAACCAGCTATAAGAATCTAATAACAAACAGATCTTTTTCATCAAACTGACTCTTTTGGTGATTTACTAGGTAATGGCAATTTTACTGGCATCAGAAACATCACGATAAACATTTGAATCAGAAAGGCCAACTCCATTGACCTTGAATAAAGATCATTGGCTCCATTGGCAAATGAGCTGAACGTGGCACCTTGCCGCTCCCCTGGCAACTTACCATATCTTACCATGAAATCAAGAAATTCCTTGGCTAATCATCAAAGATACGGAAAATATGAAAGCATCAACCTCTGCTACTCAAGCATGGCAGCGAAAAACGTTTATGATTAGTGGGAGATTCATCTATGACTGACTGGCAAAATACCACATAAAACTAGGCCTGCCGACGAAAATGCTTCCGAAAACCCGAAAATCCAGTGCTTTATCATGATATTTCCTGTCAATATGCTAGTTCATGGGTCATTATGTCACATTTTTCAATATTTTTCAGACAAACCCAAGAATATTGGCTGATAGATCCCCATCAAATATCAGGCTTCGCGGCTAACGGTGGATGGACGCGGCTCCTCCAGTCTTCTCCGTGGCGTTGCCAGCAAACGTGGGGACCTGGAAGAGTCAAGGCAGTCCAACGAAAATTGCTAGGTCTAATCATAAAACATAGGTGTTGAATTTGTTGAACTATAATCATGCCAGTTATCTCCAGTGATGTAGTACAGTCTTATTTCTATGATTTCCACATGTGGCAATTTGTAGAATCAATAAATATACAAGGTGGTGCCCCCCAGTTATAAGTTGGTTTATAAATTTTATATATAAGCCTCATTAAGTATAGGCAGTATAGATATATATCATGATATATCAACCATAAACCCAAGATATTGGAGTTATATGAACCCCAACTGGTCGCCATATTTATCTCACTGGGGCTCCACCGAACGCTGGATATCGACGGATCGCTGGGCTCCCAACATCACCACCGGAGGCCTGGCGGAGCCGACTCCGCCGTTACGGGAGGATCATATGAATAATAACCCAATAGTTATCATGATATATTGGAATATATATATATGGAATAGTAAAATTCAATATGTGGAATATATCATATATAGCATGATAACTATTGGGTTTCAATATTCCAAGATCAAATATCATGATATATTGGAATATTGGATCAGTAACTATATGGAATATGTATATATATATGATATATGGAATAGTAATATGATAGTATATATAATACTATTCCATATACTATATGAATAACCCAATAGTTATTCCATATATGGAATAGTAATATTCAATATATGGTTATCAGATGTTATCAGTTATCATATGTCGAAATGATATACGATTCCTGGTATCATGGGAATTACAATGAAGTATGTAAATCTATATTCGTACGAAAATGGATTGATGACCATACCCAACTGGGTATACAATCTAATCAACTTGACGATGGCACACATCAAAAAATCCTTCCAACATGTGAAAAAGAATGCGGGAAGAAATAGATGGATACTAACAAAATCAATGGAATATCGTGGGGATATACTGATTTGGTCGGGATATCATTGATACACTGGAGATTCCATCCTTCTCCCCATGTCAGCTTCCCCCAAAAAGATGCAACGATGTCAGTGTGAGTCTCCAACTCGGTGGCACCGGGTTTGCTATGATATTGAATCTGGTTGGTGGTTTCAACTCATGAATGTAGTGAGTAGTTAGTATAGGTGGTACCCACTAGTAGTTAGCTAACAGTAGTTTATATCACTGGGATATAAGAATCATAACTGGTTGGTGGTTTCAACCAACCCCTCTGAAAAATGATGGAGTTCGTCAAATGGGATGATGACAAAACCCCAACTGTTTCTGGAAAGTCATAAAATTCCATGGTTCCAAACGACCAACCAGAAATGATATTAAACGGCCACCAGAAAACATGCAACCAGTAGGGGATAAAAGACCACATATTTGGGACCAGGGTGGACGGGATGTTAGAATCGCCAGCAAGACACTGGCAAACAACTTACGGAAGAGAAACCATAAGAATGATATAGAACAGGAACATACAACAAATTAGATGTATTATGATAATAGATTGGTGTATTCCAAGATATCCCATGAACATCCATGAAGTCTTTTACACATTGGGCATTTTTTGAAGTGATTTCATGGTCTTGCCCTGCATCAAACCCAGTCATGGTCTTTTTCATTGACCCAAGTGACCTCAAATCTTGCACCACATCTTCCGTGATAAGTCCGTGTAGCCATCCCACCTCACGTCCTGGCCCCATGATCTCGGGATGATCACATCCAGCTACTCTCTCGAATTAACCACCCATGTTTTTGGGGCTGAGTGATACTGAAAAAGCTATGTGGCCCACATTCAGATACTGTCAGTTAATACACAATCTAGGCATGGGAAAAAGAAAAAACACAAAGTTTGTGAAACACAATGCTATTCTCTGGACAAAGAGTATCGGAAAGTGTGACTTTTGATGTGGCAAAAGCAATAGCAGAACCTCCGAGTGGGGATGGTCGATACATGTTGATACCTTCTCTTTTGGGGAAGAACTTGGAGGTGGTTGTCTGGGCTTACGACATTATGACTTCGACCCAATTTGAGACACCATGCAATCTAGAAATTGAATCAAACCTGGATTGCTGGCAAATCCTCGATTATCTATGTACACATCATGCTTACATCAAGGCAAAAATCCCAATGGTTGGATCATGTAGTTGCCATGGGGCCCCATCACTGGATGGGGCCCCAGTTCGTTGGCTAAGTTGGTGAACATAAGTCCAACAACGTTTGGGTTTATGGGGAATATAACCATAGTAATAGTTACTATAGTTGAAGGGGATTGTAAATCAACTTATACCTGGGGGGCACCATCCTTTAAGTATTTGTTTTTTCCTGCACAAACCATGTATGCTTCCGCGGACTGCAGTTTACCGGGAACCTTGTCCCAAAATACCCTTGCAAGTCTCTCATTGGCATGGACACAGTTCTCTCCAGTGGCTTTTTGTTTGAACATGTTATGTTCAAAAAAAAGAGGCCATGACCTGTCATACAAACTTTGAGCAGCTTTGAAATCAAGTGGATCTTCAAAGACCTGCAACGTTCCGCAGCCATGAACCGCAGCCCCTCCTCTATAGACCCGGACCGGCGAATTCTTCCTTGGCAATATGGGTAATGGGGTGTGTATGGACATGGAGTTTACCCCCATTTCCGCGGCAATTTGTCAATGAGGAACAGCAAATGATACCCTCTGGTAAACTAACATAACTATTGAACATCACCATTTTCAATGGGTAAATCAACTATAAATGGCCATTTTCAAAAGCTTTTTGTATGTTTACCAGAGGGTAACCCATTAGAATTGGGTTTCCCCAAATTTTCAGATAAACCCCATGGTTTCGTGTGGTACTAATCCATTGGTGTCTTCCGCTGATTGTGACCCATGGGCATCAACCTGCTCCAAGAGACGCATATCTCTTTCGTATCCTGGCAAAAAGGGATGGGTTCCCCTCCAGTGGCAGTTGGAAATCATCCATGTTACTGGGAAAATCTTCTAGAAATGGATACCCTCTGGCAATTTCACATAACAATACTATGAAAAAATTACCACTTGTTGTTCAGTTACATCTATAAATGGGCCACTGTCCATAGCTATGTGGTCGTTGACCTTAAAGTGTATATGGATCTTTTCCATTGGTCTAGTGTTTGGCTATTGAGTTGCTCATGCATCCACAGCCCGAAAAACATGATGCCTAATTGAAGTCAATATTTGATGTTAGATGATGTTAGTAACCCTTCCTCTGAGAATCAACCATGAAAAGATGGATTTTCCATGATTTTCCTCCATTTTTTCCGGTGATCGTTCCTTTTGCCCATGGGAACCATGGGGGAAAAAATGGGAATTGTCCAGCCTCTCCAGGGTGATGTTGTCCATGATCAGCGGCGGAGTCTCGTTGACACCTGGCACTGCTGGCACCGGCGAACAATGTCCGGAGGTGCCACTGGACGATTGAGTCCTTGGCTTCAATTGTGGTAAAACATGTGGTAAAACATGTGGTAAAACCCCAAAGTAAGCCCCTCCCCACTGGTCACTACTACTTGACTTGGGGAAAATCGCTGGGTGTACCATGGTGTACTCAGTGTAGTCATCTAATCTCCTCCTGTTGGCCGCACCTGGGTCAATTTCCTCCGTCATTTCATCAGGGAAGACCATCACTTGATACATCCCCGCGGAATGGAGGCAGTTGGAGATCATGCCCATCTTCCATTGCCTTCCGGAAACGGCCCATGATGGCCGATGCTTGTCCAACATTGGGTACACTGGGGATGCTGTTTTTACCGTGGTTTTTACCATTCTGAGACAGTTTTTTGGACTGCACTGTCATGGAAACACAGGATCCAAGAGTGCTCCGGCTGATCCCACGAATACCTTGCACCTACTGATCACCATCGACAGTTTTCTCTCTAGCTTGACTCACGGGCCCGGCCCGCACCTGAACTCCTCCTTAGATGTGCAAAGCATCCGAAAAAAAAAAAACGAAAAACCTTCCAGCCTGCACCGAAAAAATATGGTGGTTTGGCGAAACCTCACCTGTATCAATTCATGACAGAACATGTTCCAACCTATCGCAAGACTTTCAAGCGCGTTTTTTACATGCAGCATGCTTCAGCCATGTTCAAACTACGTGCCGCTCTATCATGTTGTTGGTTCTCTCTAGCTCCGAACCGTTCCCTCCTAACCATCAAATAGGAAAACCTTTCAACGAAATGCTGGCACTGTCCCTTTTCCGCCAAGTTTCCACCCACACGTGCACGGACTCGTTGACTGAGCATTTCGGATGGTGAAAAATCGCCCATGTTTTGTTGGGATCTCGTGGAAGATATCATTGATACATATTGATACCATGGGAAACTATAGAATGACAATTTTGTAGATGTGAGAGTTTCGACATTTTTGTATAACATATGCTATAGATGCTTTAAATTCACACTATATGACAATATATATAGAATACACTTACGACTGATTTTCCAGAACATTGGCATCTTGTGTTTCCAGGTTTGGGTATCTCCCATTTGGTCATCTGGGTTTTGAAACTCCACCCATGGCTGTTGATATGTCCAGTCTATTGGCTGATTAGTTTACCCATCCCAGTCAATCATGGAAAAACATGATATGAAACGCAAAATGTTATTTTGTTGCCTCTACCCTCTGGTAAACTAACATAACTATGGAAAATCACCATTTTCAATGGGTAAATCCACTATAATAATTACAATGTTCCATAGCTATGTTAAATTACCAGAGGGTATATTATACGCCCTTATATACATAAATATTCAAACGTAATTCGCCATGACCTGAAATTGTGGGGCACCTGGCAGGCGCAGAACTGCCTCCGGAAAAAAACATGTGGGAAAATCCCCAAATCCATGGAGATCTTAGGTGGAAAATCAGCTATACATGGATGATGTTCCATTGCCATGTTTGATTACTGAAGGGTATGGCGTTTTCTTGTTGGGAGCTTGGACGGGAATGATCATCCTCCAGCCATGTGCACATGTATGCCCTGGCTTCCCACCTTTTGAGTGCATCGTCGCCTTCTTAATCCCATGACCTAGAAACTTCTCTTTACAGTGAAGAAACAGCATTCCTTATGCTAACAGTTGGCAACAGCTCGCAAGCTAGTTGCCTCTCAAGAAATTCTGCTATGGATGACTCCATCGGAGACTCCTAAGGCGTTACAGGCCTCAGAGTGCAGTGAACTGCTCGACCCTATGAGAGCGAGCTGCTGGATCTCCGCCCAACACTAGCCAGGTAAGTTTGCAGACTATGAGCGACCCAAATACCAATCCCCTCCCAGTATAGATATAAGTTGCAATGTAATCGTACTATAACTCATGGGTATACCATCGTTACGTAGTCCATTTTCTCAACATTATCCTATCATGTCCCTATAGGTATTAGGGGAGGGGTCCAATATTAAGTACGGCACCAAAATTAGTGTTTAAACTGATATTAAACAAATAATCAAATAATTCCATTATATTAAACCCCATATATGACAATTATCATAATATTAATGGTTATAAAGCCATGCCATTATAGGATGGTAATGTATAAATCAACTAAATCCATGAATATAATCCCATCGTATTATCTCATATTACACATATATACATTTACATATATATATATATATTACCAATTTCATTAATATATAATAATCCAATATCACATTGTCACATGCGTATATATATACGTAAATCCATTGATATCACTACATTGTTGATATATATATATATGCATATCCAGTATATCCCATGTACAATTATATAACCATTATATTTATTATATTCATCAATAGGATCTCATAAATATAGGATTAAACATGATCAAACCAATTATATGATCAATTTTGATGATTATGAACCCAAACATAAATCCACATTAATAGTCATTGATATCATAAAACGATGAATGTACATGACTATGAAGCCAATGATTAATACAGGAAGGGGGCCTTAGTTATAAGTTGGTTTACAATCCCATCTACTGTAACTATAGTTATACTTATATCATGTTATATCCCCTATGAACCCTAGTTTATCAAGTCTGGTTGGTGGTTTCAACTCCTCTGAAAAATATCAGTCAGTTGGGGTTACCATTCCCTAAATATGGAAAAATAAAAGCCATGTTCCAAACCACCAACCAGAAGTTAGTCAACTTAGCTACCCTCTGGTAAACGTTTACATAACTGATGGCAAAATCACCATGCTATTCATGGGAAAATCAACTATTTCTATGGTCATTTTGAATAGTTTTTTGTATGTTTACCAGAGGGTATATCCCATTAATATCCCATTGAATCACCATAAAATCCCATTTGTCAATTTACCAGGTGATCATCCCCGGGTAACTCTGGGGCTGTAGGATATCATCCCCGGATCGGCCTTGCAACGACGACTCCAAGTGCGTGATGGGCACCGCATGTCGCAGCTGTCGTCGCACGCCCACGCGGACGTCGTAATAGGGCAACCTACCGAGAAACGGCGGCAACGCAGCACATGATACTTCTTGCGCTTCTTATATCTTGCTATACCATATATAAAAACCATACATATATGTATATATATATTATAGAGAGAAATATACAATTTTTGTAAAAAAAAACATATATATAGAAACTGTATGTCATATTACAGTATATCATGGGCCAATAATCGGTATATTATGTAGAATGGGTAAAAATTTCTGTGTATGACTTGTTGTAATGTGTATATAGTAACTGTCACATATAATGTATCATACAGTAAGATAGTCAAAAGTGGTTAGTTACAACTTGGTATTTGTTTGATGGTTCACCCATAAGAAACATGCATTGCCATGATATATAAAATGATACAAATGAGTAGTTGATGGATTCGTTTAATGCCTAATGCCCACATTGATGAGTCAACGATCCATCCACGCATCATGAGTCCCTTTTCCTATACCATTGGTGATTCAACCATCAGCCCTCATTATATTGATTCCTATATACACCATCGGTGATTCAACCAATATTGATATGTCATGATATGTCTATCATATACTGTACTTGGTCCTTTGTTGATCCTGTACCAAACGTTGACAACTCTGAATGTGGTTTATGTGGCTAATCGTTAGCCTAGATCTGTCGGGGTCTCCAACCCATCCCGTAGATCTTTAGGTTGCTGGTTTCGCCCCATACCAAACATTTTTTGTCAGTGTAAATCATCCCATTTCTGGTTGGATATATATATATATATTCTATATGATATTAGATTATACTATATTATATTACATTATATTATATTATACTGTACGATATGATATTATATTGTGTTATATTATGCTATATCATATTGTGTGTGTGTGTTACCACCAACTAAATGAAGTATGTATATGATTGTATACAGGTTGTTCTGAAAATAGGGGAGACCGACTTAAATGGCAATTGTTATGGGGAAAATGGTGATCATCCGTTGGAATTTGGGGGGTACTCCATCATCAAATCCTATGAATTCATATATTAACCATAGTGATGGATATATCAATTATAGATAGCGTTTTTACTAGCATCAAACTAGCTTAACCCCAAGCGTTTTTATCTGTTTTTATCATATCATCAATAAGCCATGACAATCACCAAGTAGCTCTGCCATTATTAACCATCATTAACCATCATTTTTATCATTAATAATGGGATTCCTTTTTCCCATCACCAAGTAGCTCTGCCATCCGCGTCTTCTCGCCCTCGCTCTCGGGGCTCTCGGGACCCTCGCCCAGGAACAAACCTTTGCCCTGGATGAAGCCTTGTAGCCTCGGCGGCCAGGATTGGGCAACATGGCACCTGTTTTGCACACAAAAAGGGAGCTGGGAAAGGAAGAACCTGGAAGAACTTCGCCTTTAGAACTTAGGAATCTATAGTATGGTAATAGTCTATAGTCTATGTCTATGTCATACGTCTATTTTGATGGCTTCTTGTCAAAACCTTGTCTGAATCTCTGAAATAACGAGGTCCACCCAAACTGTAGGTGCCGCGCATTCTTTGATGCGTCCAAGACCAGTAGGACACGGGGGCGTTTTCCTGGCAAAACAGATAAATGGCACTGGGCATGGGAGCCAAATATACTGTGAGTAATCATATATGTTTATCCATGATAATAAACTGTTAGGAATATACTGTTAGTAATATACGGTTAGTAATATACTGTTGGTAATATAGTACTAGTACAAGTATCCATGATTATGGTAATATATGGCGAAAAAAACAGCAACTACTGCTAAAACTATAACCATTCATACTGTATTCATGTTCAACGCGCGCAAGTACCGTAATTATTGGGCATATGTGGGTCATCAAATCCCAGTCCGGGATGGAAGCCAAAAAGTCACCAACATAGATGTGGAAAATCCACCATTTGTAGATTACTTGCCTAGGGAAACAATGGGTTTTCCACATCTCTGATCTCTGTTAGTCATATATATATATTCATATATATATATATATACATTATGTTTTATATATTATATTATCAAATGTATATATTTATATATTATATTATATTATATTATATTATATTATATATATACAAATATATATATATTGGGCAGGTGTGTCTACATCATCGTAAGTAATTGACTGTTGGAAAGAATCGTACAAGGAATCTCTATGATAAGTGGCCATCCAGATGAGTTTTCTGCAGATTTCCCATTCAACCCAACGAAAGAACAGTCAGCACAGCTCAAGCGGCAACTAATCTGATCTACCCTCTGGTAAACGTTTACATAACTATGGAAAATCACAATTTGTGATGGGCAACTATCAACTATAAATGGCCATGTTCAGTAATTTTTTATATGTTTACCAGAGGGTCATCAGTATGATCGTTTAACGTATGATCGCGCTTCATGGCTTCAGTTGCTGCCAACCGGTCGCTGCCAACCGGTCGCTGTGTCGATCTGGGCAAATCATCGAAGAGACTTTGTGGGCCAACCCTCAGATAGACCCACACCCAAACGTGGTAACCCAACTCTTTACAAAAACAATCACCTGGTCAGCGGCTAAATGTTGCATATCCCTTAAATTATCCCAACATTCACCTCTGGTTGGTGGTTTGAACCCCTCTGAAAAATATGAGTTCGTCAGTTAGGATGATGACATTCCCAACTGTTTCTGGAAAGTCATAATCCATCCATGTTCCAAACCACCAACCAGATAATCCCATTATTAGTCCCATTATTAATCCCATCATTAACCATCATTAATCATCATTAACCATCATTAACCAACATTAACCAACATTAACCAACATTAACCATCAGATTTGGGGCTAAAATGTTGCACATCTGGAAAGTCATGGTTCATACCTCAGTGACATCCGTCCTCAAAGACTTCACCCCAAACCTCGGCAATGGCCATGGATTGATTCTCCAAGGCCATAATATGGAATTAGTTGGCTAGGAATACTCAGTTAAACAGAGTGGAATTCTGATAATTCTCTAGGAATTAGAGTAATTAGAGTCTACCAAAAAGCAGTTTTGCAGCTTCAAAAAGCTCAGTGTCCCGCCTCCAGTTCGTCCACCGTCACCTGCCCCCAGATTTCAACAGAGTTTTGAACCGATTTTTTTTGGACGTTGATAGGATGTTGATGCCCAAACATCTTCTCCTAAAGAGGATTCTGGGACCATCATATAAGGTATATAATATAATGAGATATGTATATAATATAATGTACATTTGCCATCAACAAAAGAAAATCACTGGGAAACATTGTGCCATTCAACTAGTCTCATAGCAGTCTTGCAGTGGAAGTTGAAGTTTCAGTCATTTCAGTCGTTCTAACTTCAAAGCCCTGAATGGCTGGCTACAAGGACAGCGACAGAATCATGCAGCATTCATCGAGAGTAGTAGCAGAGTGTACTTCTGGGGCATTCATGGGTTCTGGCAAGTAAGTAGGTGATGACCTATAAAAGAAACTAGTTTCAAATCCGGATAGAAGTCCTTACTAGCAATAACACTAACATCCCAATATCACAACGATGATAATATCCTAAAAATTCTCTAAACAACTGGCTGGTAGGTGGTGGTTTCCAATCTCTTGGGATAGATTGATCATCCTCAGTGGATAAATGCCATGCTGGATATTGGGATCATATTTCTCTGAGGGATCATGATTATATGCAAATCATATTTCATAATATTGGATCATATAAAATCAAATTAGATGTTATGATAGATTATCTGGGGATCATATTTCATAATGATATCATGATATCCAAATCCCCAGATGGGAGGCTCCCATCGCCTGGATCAGGTCGGCGTCAGCGATGCTGGCCTACAAGCCATCACAGGATATGGATGTTGAACTATTGAAATCAATATCTATAGATAGATAGATAGATAGATAGATTAGATAGATGGATTAGATTAGATTAGATTTGATTAGATTTAGATTTAGATTAGATTAGATTTAGATTCAGGATTAGGATTAGATTAGATTAGATAAATAGATAGATAGACAGATAGATAGATTAGATATGTATATACATATATACTGTATATATACATATATCTCAGGTCATCTCAGGTGATCAAATGGCGAGGGCCATACCTGTGGCTTCATGGAGCGCTCCGGTAGCACCACGTCGTTGAGGTTTGTCGGAGACAGCTCCACCTCCTCGCCGTTTGGGAGGTATCTAACTTATCTAACATTAAGGGGGATGGGATTTATATATATAGTATGAATATATATAGTATGAATATATGAATTATGTATGAATAAACTCTACTGCACTAACATGAGGTCGTATATCATATGATCGATATTTCGTAAACTTGAACTAAGGTCATTTTGAATCATTTTGGGATGATTTCTCCTTACCAGTGGTGAAACTGAGCCGCGCTGCGCGGGGTGGTGTGATGTCATCGCTTGTGGCAACATTTGGAACCTAAAAGTCCATGTTTTTGGTTAAGAAATGTTTAAATTTTGCATATCCTCATATTTTCCCCAGAAAAATAAGTGCAACTTGGGGCCAACCCCGCATGACTTGAGACCCCTTTCTGTCGCTGTCGTTCTGCATTTTAGGTGGTTCCATGAGGAATCCTGTGAAAGAATTCCACTATGGCAGGCCAACAGATTTTCCATTGGAAGCTTGTTTTGAACACCTGACATTGAAGATAAGTTCCAATGATTCCAATGTGGGAAGGAAATCAAAAGTTTGGGCATCCCAAAAGCCATTGGTTTCTCTGGGCTCCGGACGGCCTCTGGATCCATACTTTCCATTGGCCCAAAGACGTCGGAGCGTTGGGTCTGTGGCCGTGGCGATACACGTCCGCGGCGCGGCATGGAATCGCAATGGGTTTAGATCTGGTGATACCCGGTGCTAAAAAAAACAATTGGAACTAAATGAATTAATTAATGATAGAAGTTTCATGAGATTTTCATGTGCTAGGTTTCATCAAATGATTGGAATGGGGTTGAACTTCCACAAGTGCTTGGCATTGTGCCAGATTGAACTGATGGAAATGATAGAAACTTGGGTCAATGACATCATAAACACCTGAAACCTGAAATTGAGCGGACTTGAGTTGATTGTCACACAAGATAGCAAACATGGCAATCAAACATGGCAATCTGGCAATCAATTTCCCAGCCATGTTTGATTAGCTGCCAGGGTACAAGACTATCAACCAGGGAGGCAGCTGCTAAGGGAATCTTCTGTTAGCGCCTTCCACATCCCCACCACAAATGCTGCCTGCGTTGCGGTAACTCTTCCCTGCCGATGCAAAATGATGCAAACCAACACATGACTTGCCAGGGTGTATACCATTGATACATATTAATACGAAATACCATGGATGAGGTACGAAAAACACATCCAGGTCCATCAGTTTTTAATGCAATATTCACTAGGTCACTAGGTGTAGGGTTGCACCAGGTTGCACCATGGAGCCACATGCATCTCACAATCAAGGACACCCCTGCGGCCAGTTTCCAAGCAGCTGGATGTGCTGGATGCCGCCATGCGGCCAACTTGGAGATTCCATGATTTCAGGGCGACATATCCTCAAAAGTTCTCAAGAGAAATACTTGATATGTATATATACAAGGTGGTGCCCCCCAGTTATAAGTTGGTTTATAATCCCATTAACTATAGATATATCTACCATAATATATATACATAATACACCCATTCTTGCCAGCTGTGTTCTCACTTTCTTTGGTGTTTTCCTCAGATTCCGAGCCATCCGCCTCCTCACCCTCGCTCACCTGACCGCTCGCCTGACGTTGGTGCCATCCCGATGTTTGGATCGTGAGTTTTCTTCATGGAATCCCAGCATTTCCCATGTTCAGTCAAATTCCCATGAAAAAACCCTGTAGATTCCTATTTTTGTTCATATCCTAATTTTCTAACTCCATTTTATGGACACAAATAACCATGAATGAAACACCATCGAATCCCAATAAAACAAAGAAAACACACATATTAAAACCATAGTTCCCCCATCATTTCATCCTTCATTGCCTCGCTCTTCGCCAGGTTTCGCTTGGTGATGGACTTGGACGCCTCCTGCGGGGGAAAAAAACGGGTGGATACGGGGAAACCACCAAATTATCTGAGTATATACGATTATATATATGTATATATATGTATATATATATGTGTTACATATGTCATATATTGTATTATATAATTATAAGTATAAATATATATGTATATACATGATTGGTGGTCATAGTTAAATGGGGTATGACTATATGACAAGTGAATATATCTGATTAGATGTGTACTTCGACTTGTCAACAAAGCGTATATTGTGAACTATCAACAATTCAATAATTACTGAATATGAACATTTAAAACAAAAGTCTTCATGAGTCAAAGTATGTCCAAGTGATAGAAGTAAGTCACGAAAGTACAGCCTTGAAACAAACATCAAATAGGGAACACAAGCAGCAATGGTCCGGGGCCGCAGAAACCCATGTTATGTACGGCCAACCTCCAGGTTATTTCTAAGATAGCTTGAATACAAAAGCAAAGAAATGCAAAATATTGACCGCATATGTATATATATATATATGTAATATACATATATGCAATATATGTGTATATATATATATGTATATATATATATATGTACTAGTAACATAATATATATATATATCATATGAAAAATATATATATATACATATGTAATATAAATATATGTTATCTATATGTAATAGTAATATATATATATGTAAGATGAATCTATATATATACGTAATATTGATATATATATATAATATTAATATATATATATATGTAATATTAATATATATATGTGTACTATTTATATATATATATATATATGTAATATTAATATATATATATATGTAATTTATATATATACATATGTGTGATATTAATATACATATATTTATACATATATGTAATATAGATATAATACAATATATAATATATATATGTAGTAGATATATACTTTATATATTATATATATGCATGTACTATACATATATATATATATGTATATATATTTGGGTCACGGTCAATATTTAGTATATAGCTCCAAGTCATCAATTTTTGAAGAGTGTATTATCGTTTTTCAGGTTTTGGGAATATAGCAAATGTTATCGTTGTTTGAAGAGTGCATTATCGTTTTCCAAGCCCCAGCTCAATTTCCAAAACAAAAGATGTCTCGAATACTACTTTCCATTACGCTAAATTTTAGCTGTAACTCATATATATGTATATATATACATATGTAATAGATATATATATATATATTGAAGGCACCCCTGAGTGCAAGTAACACCTACAACCAAGCTAATTTCAACCTCTCAAGGATGCCACAACCTAGAAAGCTGATTATACATCAATCTACACCTGAAAATCTGCAATGGACTGAAATGGAACCCAAAAAGGTTCATATATTTTCCAGACCCCATTTTTCAATAGGAACTTTATCATGTTATATCATCTATCGAATCTATACCATAATATAACAACCCAATAAGAAACTCATCTTCCAGCCATCGCTGTCCTTGGTCATGGTGAGGGATTCTCTGGCCCGACTCGCTCCCAAGTCCTGGTGGCAGAACTCCTTTTTGGATATGTTTGGGCCGTTTTCCACCGTAGAAAACCCTTCATGTTCGATTGGCAAACCATGGGAAAACCATGGGAAAACCCTGGTGGATTCGCCATTTTCAGGCGAGTTCCTGAAGTGAAACATCCGCGAGCCTTCCATCCCCCGCAGTCTCTTCCATCGTCTGGATAAGCACATGACCACCGTGATGTAAGAAGTTGTTAGAAGATTGGTCAAGACGGCTGCACTTGCTAGAACTACTTCAGTAGCCCATCCATACTGACACCTGACCTTACGGTAGTATCTTTCTATTGTCGGAACAACGATGTTGCCCCCATGGACGGACCAATGAAAAACTGGTCCTACATCCGGATTGCACGTTGCTGTTTGCTCCTTCCTTCCTTTCGTTGATAATCTAGACGAACATGTCTATCATTTATCACTTTCTTTTGGGTCTACCACCACATGGGTTTCTCCAGAAATCAAGAAAGGGGACCCAAGAATTTCTCCCGAGTTTGTCGGCAATCTTTATTGACGAAATGTTGATAATTACACCAAATGGGTCTTGGGGGGTATAGCAACCCCCAAAAAGATAGAGGGGTAAAGTATGGTAAAGTCCTGCTAAATTAATCAAAAAAATACTGGAAATTAGACACTTTTCTATCTTTCTGACGGGGTGCTATAAGATGCTGGCTATAATCTATAAATTCAATTGGTTGGTAACGCCAAGTAGCTCCAAGAATCTCGCGAATTTCGATCCCGGAACAGCACAACATCACCATGATCACCCACCCGCAGTCCATGCTGACCCAGCGATGCCCACGGAGGGTATTCAAACGCCTCGCTGGGTGTGTTGGCTGACTTCATGCCAATTGATGCCAATTGATGCCAATTGATCATGGAAACGAGTCATAGTCCATAGTGAAGCGATTCATTGACCTTCAAGTCTTCGTGAAGAGGACTCTGACCAACAAAATCTTCAGCAAGTGACACGTCCAGAAGAAATCAAGCCTTATCACTTGTACCCTGTTCCGTTGTACCCGGATGCTCGGTGGCTTCAAAGCCCATCCAAAGGCGCCTCATCATGGCTGCCTCAGCAACGGGAAGGGCTGATCATCTGGGTGCCATTTTTTATAGACCAGAAATATGATCAGCAGCAAATTCTGCTTACAATATATATATATAAGTTATATTATATATATAATATCTATCTATATCTTATAATTACAGGTTGGCTTCAACTCCCATACCTATTGAAAACTATTTAAACATACGTAATCGTATGGGCACAAAACTGGGAAATGTGTGGAACTGGGGTACTTAAATAATTTAAGACTTTGGGACTCTGAGGACAGATAAACACAGTTATGGTTGGTTAATATGTATTCCCATTATAGACTATAGAGAATACAACAAAATGATCATTTCCGGAATTAAATGGGGTATAATGGGGTAATTATACTATTAAATACTATTAATAGCCCATTATAATTTAATAGTATACTAATCATACCCCATTAGTATCCCATTAATAGCAATTAATTAGTTAAATATCCCATTAATATCCCATTAAATATCCCATTAATATCCCATTAAATATCAACTACAAAGCCACAAAAATTGCTGGAGATCCTTCACCGCAAGATGGCAAGATGGGCCCCCAAGTCATGTGTCGCTTCTGTGTCGCCGAGGAACAACATCTACGTCCCATTTCACCAAGACCTGGAGCGGAAGCCGGTGACACCGCAACACCCCAAAGGTCGAGGCCGAAAAAAGATGGGTGACACCTGGAAATATACCATAATAGTGTTTAAATTAGTACATAAATAGTTGAATAAGGGTGTTTAATGGATTAAATATACATAAATATACTATTATGATGGTTAAATTATGGAGATATCCCATTCATAATAGTATTTAACCCCATCAAACACCATAAATATACCATAATAGTGTTTAATGATATGTTTATGTAATGGGAAATACCCTCTGGTTATGACTAACATAGCGAACTGGAAAATGACCCATAGAAATAGATATGTACCTATAAAAGTGATTATTTTCCATGGCTATGTTAAAGAACCAAAGGGTAAATATCATCGACCTAACATCCTGGTTGCAGACTGACATCGGCATCTTTTTGGGGGTTGCTATAGGTGGTGACCCAAAATCGGCGTTCGAACATATAAATCGACTCACCTTTTGCAAAGCGCGCCGCGCCTTCTTCTTCTGCTCTTCGACCTCTTCATCATCGTCATGGATCGTCTCTTCCTGATGAGAGGTGCCACATGGGCCACATGGTGCACCACTAGAGATAGGGATATCAGGGGTGCCGTATGGGTGTCGGCATTAAGTTGCCACATCAGTGATCAAAGAAATTATTGTGGCAATCCAGTGAAGTCTCCAGGTTTTTCGGGGTCATATCTCACAAGAATAGTTGATGATTGTTCCTGGTCATCTGCCCAATAATTTTTCGGTGCTTTCCAAGACCAATTCGAGGCAACCCAGCTCTGAGTGAAGGACAATCACTTCCGTCCGCACGTAGGTCACAACCTCAATGACTTGACTGCGATGACTTTCAGCTGCTCTCACTGTGTCTTTTGGCAATGGAACAGCTCGAAAGCCAAAGGATGCCAAAGGCAAAGAACCAAAAAGAACCCCAGTCAACTTTCCAGACATCTAAGAATCTACTCTTCCGTGGGGACACAAATAGAGCCACTTGACTGAATCGAAAAAAGGGTCCCCCACGTGCTTGTTTCCCTTGCTGTCCTGGAGCACCGGACGGGACATGAACAGCACATCAATGACTGGCGAGTTCATCCCCCAAATGAAATGGATAGAATGACAGGTAGAATGGTGAAACAAATGGAACATGGAAAATACTTGAAATGTCCTTGAGCTCAAATATCCACACATTCACTTATCAATGGATGTGGGCTAAGGGGACATTTTTATATAGGAAACCATGTGTTTTACCTTTGAAAGTCATGTGGTACCCCAAATTATCCAAATTTAGAACATTTTAGTATTGAAACGCATGGTTTTGGGGATCCCCCATTTTCAGAAATCCCCAGAAAATCGGTCTTTAATTTCCTATAGATCTTCCCAAACGAACCAACTCGGGGAACGGACAAAAGCCGCCAGTCCCGAATTTCAGTCTGCCCGGCGGAGGCTGGCTTCATACGCCGCAGGAAGACAGCACAAACCTCGACGAGTTTTTGCGCAGTGAAAACCGAGCAGTGAAAACCTGTTTCAATGGTTGGCTTTAAAATTGAAACATAATATATAATTGGAAACCATTGGTATTAGTGAAACCATTGGAAACCAGCCACTAATACCATGTAACATCTGCAGGAAACCATGATACATAATTTTGAAAACCATCAGCGTATTGGCGCCTCCATGCTCTGGGAACTCTGGGGATTCATGGAAACATCATGAAACATCCATCACGATATGAATGATATGAGACAATATTGGAATTACTCCTGGAAAATACCCCAAATGTATGATGGCCTCCAGAATTTGCATTTCCAGGATTAAAGATCATCACCAATATATCAGGTATTCAGGTTATCCGCGAAATAATCAACCAACTGAAAACTCTTAGAACACATTTTCGGAAAGGAAAAGATGGGGTCCTTTTAGCCAGACCTAGGTTTGAATGTTGTTGAATCCTCTGTACTGATCTACTGTTACTGTACTTCCCATTCCAGGATGGTTCAACGTACTGAAAAACCATACGAAATCCCAAGAAACTTCATGGCCGAGCAACAGTGCAGATGCCGCAGCAAAGCATGATGCACCTTGGGGTGACACTTGATGACTCTTGGATCATAGGGGTATTTTTTTCAGGGAAAATCCACTGGAAACGAAGCGGTCTATCCTGTGATTTTGATGGCTAGAAGATCCACCAAGATCCCACGACAAGGAATCGCGGTGGCGTTCCCATTGGAATCTCCATGGCTGGGGGAATTCTCGCTGTCGACATATGTCGACATAATCCAATATAATCCAATGACATACGACTTCTACACTCAGTGTACCTGTGGCCAGGATGGCTCTAATATCTTGGATTCTGTTGCGGAACTTTACAAAATGCAAATAGACCCCATGTTTCTCAACATTCTATGCAGTTCGTTCGCTGAAGGATGCAAAAATAAGGCACCTACGAAAAAAAAAATCTGGTCCTACCTTCGGGTGGACAAACGTGGCAGCCATGGTGACTTTTGCCAAATGACGGGTCATGACTCATGGATCTCCGAACAATCCAAGCACCGAAACAACCGTGCCGCCCATGGTCGGACACTCGCTCCCGACGCCGAAAATCAACTCGCTTTCAACGCCGGAAACATACTCGCTCCCGACGCCTCTTTACTTACATCAACAACATGCACAACATCAACAACAAGAACAAAATCAACAGCAGTCTCAACATCCACATCACAAAAACATTAACAACCACAACAACATCATCAACATTCACATCAACATCAACGCCAGCATGAACATCATCAACAACAACAACAACGACAACGACAACGACAACGACAACGACAACGACGACAACAACGACAACAACGACAACAACGACAACAACGACAACAACGACAACAACGACAACAACGACAACAACGACAACAACGACAACAACGACAACAACGACAACGACGACAACGACAACAACAACAACGACAACGACGACAACAACGACAACAACGACAACAACGACAACAACAACAACAGCAGCAGCAGCAGCAACAACCGTAACAAAAACAACAAAAAACAAGAACAAAAACAAGAAAAGCAACAACGATGACGACGACGACTACGACAAAAGCCGACAAAAGCCTACACAAGTCGACAACAACAACAACGACAACAACATCAACTTCAACAACATCAATTTCAACATCAACCGCAATACAAACATTTACTAGCACGCGCTCACTGACATGCTGTGTCGGAGGAGTTTCGACTTTTATGTACGCACTTATATTTCACATCCTCCGTCCCCTCCTTCGCTCCGTTCTTGGTGCGGCGTTCCCCCATGCGTGCGTTGTGTCCGCGTGCCCCCTGTTATATATCGCAGGTATTATGTTGCAATGCGTAGGTCACGGTAGGGCTGTGCCGCGTGGTGAGCAGTTAATTGATCTTTAATCTGATAAGATACATAATTTCATGGCTGTGATGATTGTGTTTCGGCCAATCCGTTTGAACATCACAACGAACCACAAGTTTAACTAAAGAGTTAGATTTTAGATGATGGCATTGTGGAAGGCAAGAGGGGGGGAAGTTTAAATAAAGAGGCAGATTTTAGATCATGGCATTGCGGAAGGCAAGGGGGGGAAGTCTAAATAAAGAGGAACGGTTAAAAAAAGAGGTAGATTTTAAATCATGGCATTGTGGAAGGCAAGGGGGGGAAGTTTAAATCAAGAGGAACGTTTAAATAAAGACTTAGATTTTAGATGATGGCATTGTGGAAGGCAAGGGCGGGGAAGTTTAAATAAAGAGTTAGGTTTTAGATAATGGCAGTGTAGAAGGCAAGGGGGGGAAGTTTAAATCAAGAGTTAGATTTTTAGATGATGGCATTGTGGAAGGCAGAGGGGGGACGGTTAAATAAAGAGTTAGATTTTTAGATGATGGCATTGTGGAAGGCAATGGGGAGGAAAATTTAAATAACGAGTTAGATTTTAGATGATGGCATTGTGGAAGGCAAGGGGGGGGGAAGTTTAAATAAAGAGTTAGATTTTAGATGATGGCAGTGTGGAAAACACGGGGGGGGGAAGTTTAAATAAAGAGTTAAAATTTTAGATCATGGCATTGTGGAAGGCAGGGGGGGGAAGTTTAAATAACGAGTTAGATTTTAGATGATGGCATTGTGGAAGGCAAGGGGGGGAAGTTTTAATAAAGAGTCAGATTTTAGATTATGGCAGTGTGGAAAACACGGGGGGGGAAAGTTTAAATAAAGAATTATATTTTTAGATCATGGCATTGTGGAAGGCAGGGGGGGAGTTGAAATAAAGAGGTAGATTTTAGATGATGTTATTGTGGAAGGCAAGGGGGGGGGAGGTTGAATCCCCTTGAATGGTTTCTCAGTGTTGATCATTCCCCCGGCATGGTGCCGTGATGGTTCCCCCCCACCCAGCCTAAAGGGTTGAATCCCCTTGAGTTTCTCAGTGTTGGTCATTCCCCCTGTATGGTACCCTGATGGTTCCCTTCCAACCTAAAGGGTTGAATCCCCTTGAGGGGTTTCTCAGTGTTGATCATTTTCCCTGTAATGTTTGTTTATGATGGGGTTCCAGAAGTGACGCCTCAGTACCAATGGGGAAACGGAAAACCGACTCGCCCTCGACGCCGAAAAGTGTTTTTTGTGCTGGAAGTGAGTCAATGTTTGGTGTTGGGAGTGAGTTCTTGGTGTTGGGAGTGAGTCGGTGTTGGAAGTGAGTTGATTTTTGGTGTTGGAAGTGAGTGGTTAACCTGCCGCCCAGGTACATCAAAGCAGAAGCAACGACTGCTCCGTTGGCATTCAGAGACCCTGCCTGAGGGATGGCGATCGTATTTGGAATGACTTTGTACCCCTGGAATGGATCAATTACGGTCTGGAAGGAAACATGAACCAAACTTACAAGATGTTTGCAGTCCAGATTTGTCTCCCCAAAATTGAAGGGTTTTGGGCTCCAAAATCTTGACTCACCCCGCATAGATGTTGAAAATTTGCACAGCATAAAAACACTACGGTACAAAGCTGAAAACACAAATATGGAATTTCCCCCAAAACTTCTCAAAACCATGAAATTCAGAGCTTCAAGTGGAAACTCAAGAATAAGCCAAGAACCAGTAAACATGATGTCATGGTTGTTGGAGTCACAACATATTTGACTACAGTATGGTATGCGCTTGATTTCCAGTGCATTACTATTTCACAATTCACGCATGAGTAAGCGTTAAATCATGTTACCCTCTAGTAAACATACCAAAAGCTATTGGCCATTGAAATAGTGAGTTTTCCCATTAAAAATGGTGTTTTTCCATAGTTATGTAAACGTTTACCAGATGGAAAATCCCATGAAAAAATCCATTAAAAAGCCATTAAAAAATCCCATGATATTCCCATATTCCCATGATATTCCCATATTATAATCCCATTACCATCCAGCTTTTGGGCTATCTCCATTTATGGAACCCCCCATATATGTAAACGTTTACCAGAGGGTAACATGCAATGAGACATCCAAAATATGTTGGTTTCAAGATGTTTCAAGCAGCTCTGACCTGGCCTCCGGATCATGGCCCAGGTGCCAGGGAATGATCTGCACCTCAGATCGTCAGTTTTTTTTCAACTCGCATCATGTCGAAGTATCAGGACCTGTCACAAGTAATATTAAAATCAATTAGAAATATACTATAATCATGTATAAATATATAAATATATAATTATATCTAATTACAGATATATATATATATTATAAAATATATTATAATATGATATAATGACAATAATAATCATATTATATATATATATCATTATTAATAACAATGATCATCATCATCCCATTGAATCCTCGGCATTTTGTGTCCTCGGCATCCCCACCACCGCGAAGATCGACAAGTGCGTGGCCGAACACCAAGTGCCAGGCCTCGAAGCGCAAGGCGGATCGTGGTTTAAGCACCTGTCTTTCTTGAAGAAAATCATCATTTATTGGTAAGGAAAACAACCATATATATATACATATATAAGCTATAATATATATATATACATATATATATATATACATATATATATATACATATATATATATACATATATATATATATATCATCATCATACATCATCTGGATGAATTATAAAACATTTCAGCAAGCTGAAATGTTGGGTGATTCTGCCCTACTATCTATCATCCGTTGAACCACCCAATCCAAAACGATCCAGTCCATATGCACCACTGATGCTCCTCAAACGGCCCTACACCTGAAACTCAACTGATCCTTCTTCGGAGATTTTTGACCCAGAAGATTCAAGCTTAAGCGTACGAAGTCTGGGTCATTGAGTTCCAAATACATATGGGAGAGGTATCTGTTCAATCTTAGGAGGTCATGAAATGTCACGAACTGAAATGACAAACTCCTATTGAAAACTGGAGGATGACCATTTCCCAAGACAGGGGATGGCAAACCACCTCAATTCTTGACCATCACATAATAAGCAAAAGGAAACATGCTACATTGAGCGCTGCATGAATCTATGCTTTCTTATCGAAAGGTGGAAGATCCTTCGTTGCCGCCATCGAAGAGTGAGTTTGATGCGACTTAGTCACAGTACTGTGGCCATCTGTGGCCTACACCAAACCCAGGTGGCCCACCACGACTCCATTTCTGAGTGTCTCCACAGATCGTTATTGGGCACGTCGCTTCCATTCACCAGGGTCACCCCCTCTACGGACCAGGTGTTGGTGGCCTTGCGACACCGGATTGACAGCCCCACCATGGGATCCACCAGTGGTCTAGACCTTACCAAGCGGCTAAGTCGAAATAGGAACAGGTGTCCCCCTCGACCGGAGCTGACTCGTGAAATCCTGAGGCTTTTTTTTTGGCTCCACGAAAAGATGGGGAAATGACTGATGGGCAAATATGGTAAGATCGGAATTAGATCAGCAACTATAAGCATCAACGGTAAGATCCCCATCGTTCTAGGTCAAATCTACATGAGGTTGGGTGAAATCCATTGAAATCCTTCATGTGTTGCGGGGCAATTCTTGTTTCTGAACCGCTCATGTTTGTCGAATTCCCTACTCATTGGATGCCCTTAAGTCCTCCGCAGTTCTTGGTTTCATCTGGTTTCATCCCAAATTTGTTGCTTCAAATCCTCCTTGTGTTGGTCAAAACCCACAATTTTGTTGGTTCAATCCCATTGAACCCCATCAAATCCCAATTTTTGCTGGTTAAATCCTAATTCTTACCTGTGTGAAATGCCATTTCTCAATCTTTATTGATTAAATCCCATTTTGTCGATGGTTAATCCCTACTTCCATCCTTAAATCCCCATTTTTGCCGGTGAAATTCCACTTCTTTCATGGTTTTGAAACCCTGGAGAGCCTCTCCAAATTTTCACGCCCAAGCTTCGGAAGTAGACCGGCTCAGTGGCATTTTGGAGGTTGACCACTGTGATCAATCCTCCTGACTCCTCTGTTTGATGGGGTGTAGATGCTATCCCGAATCCCTAAAATGTGCGAAAACCTAGGGGGAAATCCGTTTTTACTGTGGTAAATGCCATCAGTTAATAATCTGAATAAATTTACCGTTTAAATCCCATGTAGTCAACCTAATGCCAATTTGTTTAAGGATTTTACCATTTGGGGATGGTTGAGAAACTATCTGTTTATGGTCAGGAGATGGTTGAGTATCGGGTTTACCACATGATGATCGAATGTGATATTACTTCCTCAAGTTTAGACCAAGCCGTAATATGAATGATGTGGAAAACTCAAACCCGCAAAACACCTTACCTGGTGGGGCTTTTCACCACGTTCAGTGGCTAATAAGCCCCTGGCGGCAGTGGGGAGCCCACAAAAGCGTGTGGTTCTTCCGGATGCAACTGGATATGAAAATTCGTAGTGGTGAACATCGGGGCTGAATATCCAAGTATGGCAACCTCAAATGGTGCGCGGGAAACCTGGAATCCAGTGCTGAGCACATGGCGTTGTGGTCTTGTTACAAAAACATCTACTAGAGGTGCCTTGCCTCACTACTCAAGTGTTTTGAACAAAGAGAAACATGTTCAATTCCTTCGTACTGGAATCATACAATCTGGATTTCAATCTCTGATTAATCCACTGCAACTGCAGCCGCTGCAGCCCACGACAGATGGACTTTTATTGAACCAAGAATAATCAACAATAACCAACAATAATCAACAATTACCAACAATAACCAACAATAACCAACAATAACCAACAATAACCAACAAACTATGGATGGACTATGATGCTCAGCGACCATCCACCAGCATCCAAGCAGAAAAAACAAATCGCCCCTCCTGGAGCAGGGAAAACTCTAAGACTTTGGAGTTGAACTGCACCTGGCGGCGCAGGGCCACCCAGGCAACTGGCCGGCATGGCAAAAAAAATGTGCGAAATCATGAGCTGTGAAACATCCGTTGAAACCAGGATAGACCATGATAAAGCATGATAAAGCATAAGTTTCATCGGATTGGGGAAGCCTCCACAATGAACATGGTTTGCTCATCCCATCTACAAAGGTGCCAAACGAGCATTTGGAACGTCTCCACAAAGATAGAAATGTCATTCATTGATTCACCATATATATTCCATATATATATATTCAATATAATATATATAGTATCATACATATATATATACATATATATATATATATCATTAAGATGTTGCTTTTCCTTTTTTTGATGCCAGTAAAGACTGTTGCTGCAGTTTTCTTCATCTTGTCATCACTTCTGGTTTCAAGAACTCAGCCCGATGGAACCCCGGCACCGAATCACCGTTGTCTTTTTTGTATGGCATCTCGCTGGACACTTCCTCGAGCCACCAACGGAGCCGAAGCCGGGGGTTGGCCATGCAAAAGGGTCACATGGCCATGAGTCGCCAGAAGAGATAATAATTGGATAATAGTCACAATGGCAATGATAAGGATAATAGTAGATAATAGTAGTAATATCTGTAGTGATAATAGTCATCATGTGATAATTAAACCCAATAAAACCTCCAATTTTGGACCTTTGCTGCTGAAATGGCGGGCTTAAGGCGCTGGGATGTCCTGGGTCACTTGAGTCAACGAGACCATGAGATTCACCCCATTGGCCGCCTGTTCTGCCTCAGCGGAGCGCCATGGAGGGCCATGGTGCTGCAGTTCCAGTTTCAAATCACCAGAGTTGTAGGGGGTATATCCCAACATATCCCAACTTACGGAGGTTAAAATCCCGTGGTGATATTCATACAATTTGAAAAAACTGGCGGCCTGCACCCCCAAGTAGAGTGGTGTTTGATCCAAGAAACAGTGGTTGCGGGAACTTGCACCTGCACCGCGACGATGAGCGCATCGTTGCTGGGAAGGCAAGTGGTAGAGTGGCATGTCCAAAAATGGAGGCCCCAAAATGATCTATTTGAGGGCTGGGTTTGGGCCATTCCAATTTTGTTGGGGTTTACAGAAAGTGCTTCAACAATATAATTGATCTGGCCAAGAGCTATGGAGAAAAATATGTTGGCAAGAATGCAAGCTATACAGATAGCACCCAAGAACCCAAGACCGTAAGGGAAAATTTTGGGGAATTGGCTGTCAACTGTGATCATCACATCCTCTCATATTCATTGAGCACGACAAGATCCTATAATTACTCAAAACATGACACCAGAGCCGCCATAGCTGCCATAGTTGCCATATGTTGCCATAGTTACCATAGTTGCAGCCACTATAAGCACTTGGAACTTTCCGCAATTCCAACATTTCCAACATTTCCAACCTCAACAGGCACGCAACCCGCCCCAAAATCGCTGGCACCGTGACTGCCGGACTGGTCGAATTCTGGGCGCCGCTTTCGTCGAACTGAAACACCTCAGCATCAACCAACTGGTGGCAAGCTGGACGAAATCCCCATTTTTTGGGTGAAAATATGTGAAAATACACTAAAGTACTCCTCGATCTGTCTGCATTGCCATCTTCAGCGATCTGTCCCCATGTTCGATGAAATATCTGTTGGCGAACATTCCGATGCTTAAGGTTCTACCACCTTCAACTCCTCATTCTCCTTCATTTCAAAAAATGGTGAACTCCTAATTCCTTACGGCAAAAAAAAAACTCGTAAATTCCAGTTTTCCCTAATTTCACCAGTTCTAAGATCCCAGAAAAAATCTTTCAACTTGTCAATTTCTATCAATAGGATGGCAAAAAAGCATCTCAAAAACCAACAAAAACAGGAAAAACCGACCCAATTTCACCTGGCAAGAAATCTTCGACCAAAACTCCCAGTTTGTTTCGGGTAAAACCCACCTATTAGGCGCCCGCACCAGACCCGAAGAGACCTCCGTGGGGGTGACCTTCAGCACAGTGACCTCGGGCACCATGGCACGTGTTTTTTGTAGCGATGGATATACTATGTAAATAATGTATATAATGTATATATATATTGTATGTGCATATGATATATATATATATATAGAGAGAGAGAGATGAGATTGATTTATATTGTATTGTATAGTGTATATCAAGTATTACATAATACAAATCTGCACCGTTGCCATTCAGCATTAAAGTCGGGGTTTACAACTATACTATACCTTTAAAACACAGTAAGTTGCTTTGAGTTTCACGTACCAAGAGGACTCCCCGTGGCCAAACATGTGCCATGGTGCAGTGCCCTGCGGGGTCACTTCCACGATGCTATCCTGGATCGGTCACTTTGGATCAACCAGGGCCAATAACGCCTCAAAAAAATAGGGATCACAATTAATGGGATACTCCGGGATAACGATCCACAAATATCCACAATACTTTCGAGATATGCCAAATGATCTGGAATAAATGGAATAAACAGTTTCAATACCAAGTTATACCAAATGATACCAAATGATGCAATGGATGTTGCCCTGCAACACCGGCGGAAATGAAGGCACGCAAGTCCTCTGGGGAATTTAGCGCCAATAGCGCACTGTCCAGAGTTGCCTGTGTGCCGCTAAAGGATTTTCGGAATAGTCTCACTATCACATACTATTGCCAAAGTCAACATGTCCGGATGTTTTGGTGATGATGGAAAATCAGCACAACCATTCAGCTGCGATATCGGTGATAGTAAATGATGTTCAATTCGTTTCACCACCATCAGCAATAATTGACTATCCTTATCGGTAATTAAATGGTTGCGAGCTTGCACATGAACCATCAAACAGTTTTGAGCCCAAATGAATGGAAAACGCTTAGTCACTTAGTCCATGTGAATCCAGTCCCCAGAATTTTCACATGGCACGAATGGAAGAGATGACGCGATGTGAAAATCGCGCCTGCACCACGGAGCCCTGCGGGGTTGCTGTGTCCACATTCCCGGGAACCACATAGGCTCCCTCCCTGGTAAGATGACCGAAAAACAGACACAGGGAAGCCTGGCCATTGAAGTAAGCCAACATTCCCCCGTTTTTACTAAACGGTCGCCCCCCCCCAATAATAGTAAAAGGGGGAAGAGATTATCATGAAGCCCCTGAAAAGTATCATGAGGTGAGTCCATTGGCATCTAGAATCGATCGACTCTATGATGTGCTGTTAGGAAAAAGAAGGTCGGTTTGGTAAGATCTTCCCATTGATCATTGCTTGTTGAATTGTGGGGGTGCCCATCTATTACTCAATGAACAATGGGTAAATGGACTTGTAAACCTACCAATTATATCTAATTACTGGTTTGTTCCACACATCAATATCCATGAAACCAATAATTGGATAGTACTAGTATTATTCAAAACCTATTATACCAAATCTAGGTTTGGTCTTGTATAGCATGATAATTCACCCATGATTTACGCCATCAAACTATGGCTTCATGTCCCAATTTTTATGGCGTGAACTTTGTTTTGGAGTTCACCCAGCGGATTGAGGTGCTATTACTGCAGATCAATGCGAATTTTGATCTATTTACATCTATCCAGTCCTGGGATGAAATACAGTTATTGGAGTTATTGGATTTATTGGATGTAATATGATGTAATCCAATCATGAACAGTTTTGTCAGACATCCCACAGCTTCGCATCGGGCTCTGGGCGCCCCAACAAGGTGGTGGTGCTGCTACTACTGGTGCTGGTGACAGTTGTGCTGCTGGTGCCTGAGGATCATCGAGGATCATCAAGGATCATCATCGTATGTCAAGTCTTTGTCGGAGTAAACTACCAGAGATCTGAAATGGCATCCAAAACAGGCCTGAAACCATGGCTGTTCTGAATATCTTAGTTTCCGTAACATCCGTAAGATCCGTGACAGCCATGACACCCGTACACTTATCCCTGAATCCATAGATCCATCTGAAAATGGCGAAAGGTCTGTTGCCCTTGTGACTCATCCTATCCCTGTGTGGTATTGATACATATTGATACCCCATTCCAAACCATGCTTTGGTATTAGGTCTCTTCAGTTTCTGTTCAGCCCATATGGGATGCTGCCATGGAGCTCGTAGTGCTTTCTGTGGTGCTGGTGCCTCAGATTTCCACAGGTCATGGGGAAGAATCATCCATTCACCAGCTATGACTAAACGGGTACCCTTTGGGTACCGTTTGGGTACCGTTTGGTTTTGACCCATAACCACAACAGCAGGTCACCATCAACCAACTTGCCGTGCTGGACATCTTGATGTTGGGAGGTGATGTGAGGATTATCTTGAAGTTCCCCATGACAAATTCACCACGGCTGTCTTTGATACGCAATACATACATATATAATCATTAATATAATCATTAATATAATATGATGCATTTCTGAAAATATTTCTTTGGGCAGGCCGCATTCCCCCATGGGCAAAAATGATCCCCCTCCCTTTATGTTTTATTCCTCTGGCTGAATTTCTTTGTTCACCAACGTGACATCCATAGCTAAGCAGATGGTTGCCCCAATCCTAATAAATTTATATAGTCCATCAACCTCCCAAAAGCAAACCATTTAGGTGTGTCTTAAAATGGGGTATGTATAATGTACACCCCCATTTTGTTTGTCAATTTGATAGATCCAATTCATTGGAAAATCACCATGGCCAAGCATGAAAAAAAATTGGGGTTGGTTGTGGTAAACCAATCCTTGGGGATGGTCGAAATCTGATCCATTTCTGGTATTGGGGGATAGTTTCTGGTTTGGAGTTTGCCACATTCCGCTGTTCACCCTCAAATTTCATGGTTGGTCATGATGATTTTCCAATGGCCATACCTTGGCCTTTTTTCAGAGGAAACCAAGCTGCTGGAGCTGCTACTGCTGGTCAACGTGCTGGAAGTGGTGCTCGAAACCGTACTGCTGCTGCTGGTGACAGTTGTGCTGCTGGTGCCTGAGGATCATCGAGGATCATCAAGGATCATCATCGTATGTCAAGTCTTTGTCGGAGTAAACTACCAGAGATCTGAAATGGCATCCAAAACAGGCCTGAAACCATGGCTGTTCTGAATATCTTAGTTTCCGTAACATCCGTAAGATCCGTGACAGCCATGACACCCGTACACTTATCCCTGAATCCATAGATCCATCTGAAAATGGCGAAAGGTCTGTTGCCCTTGTGACTCATCCTATCCCTGTGTGGCATTGATACATATTGATACCCCATTCCAAACCATGCTTTGGTATTAGATCTCTTCAGTTTCTGTTCAGCCCATATGGGATGCTGCCATGGAGCTCGTAGTGCTTTCTGTGGTGCTGGTGCCTCAGATTTCCACAGGTCATGGGGAAGAATCATCCATTCACCAGCTATGACTAAACGGGTACCCTTTGGGTACCGTTTGGGTACCGTTTGGTTTTGACCCATAACCACAACAGCAGGTCACCATCAACCAACTTGCCGTGCTGGACATCTTGATGTTGGGAGGTGATGTGAGGATTATCTTGAAGTTCCCCATGACAAATTCACCGCGGCTGTCTTTGATACGCAATACATACATATATAATCATTAATATAATCATTAATATAATATGATGCATTTCTGAAAATATTTCTTTGGGCAGGCCGCATTTCCCCATGGGCAAAAATGCTCCCTTTATGTTTTATTCCTCTGGCTGAGTTTCTTTGTTCACCAACGTGACATCCATAGCTAAGCAGATGGTTGCCCCAATCCTAATAAATTTATATAGTCCATCAACCTCCCAAAAGCAAACCATTTAGGTGTGTCTTAAAATGGGGTATGTATAATGTACACCCCCATTTTGTTTGTCAATTTGATAAATCTAATTCATTGGAAAATCAACATGGCCAAGCATGAAAAAAAATTGGGGTTTCGGGGTTGTGGTAAACCAATCCTTGGGGATGGTCGAAATCTGATCCATTTCTGGTATTGGGGGATAGTTTCTGGTTTGGAGTTTACCACATTCCGCTGTTCACCCTCAAATTTCATGGTTGGTCATGATGATTTTCCAATGGCCATACCTTGGCCTTTTTTCAGAGGAAACCAAGCTGCTGGAGCTGCTACTGCTGGTCAACGTGCTGGAAGTGGTGCTCGAAACCGTACTGCTGCTGCTGGTTACGCTGGTGGAGGTTTTGCCTCGATCCATGAAGCTGCGAGGCAGATGTTGATGTTGGTTGATGCTAAGCCTTCTGGGAAAAAAGAAACGTGGTTTGCTGGAAAATTAATCATTTATGAACAAAATTCCCAGCTATAAACCATTTCAAACCTCCATTTAGTTTGAGATGTCCGATCGCCACGTTACCAAAGGGTAGAAACGATGTTGGTTTACGATGCTTCGTTGGTATAGAAACAACCTTGGAGTTGATGCATCATAAAGTCAGGCAAATTCTCGCCCCAATGATCTCTAAAAATATCTTTAAAAAATAGAATAGCCCTATATACTCCTATTTGTTTGGCCCTTTTTGGGTATGGAATTTTTGGATGCACCCAACTTCTACCGGTTGATCTCAGTTGCTGATGGTGCTGGAAGTTGTGATACTTCCTGGTGCCAGGTGAACAACTCATGGCGGTTGGGAATTGATTTTATCGTGGTGACGTGTGGTGTAGATGTCAGTAAAGTCAAGATAAATTTTGGAAGTGACACCTGTACAGCCTGTACATGTGACTAATTCATGTCAAACTACATCTTTGACATGGTAGACGTTTGCAATTTGTGGAACAAAAAGGGCAGGATGTAAATGTCACAGATAAAGCCGAACATATTGTCATTCCAGCAGTTACCAACTGGATCAACACCGGAACTTCCACGTTCAAAACATCTGTACAACTTAGTTTTGGTTCTCGGAATGAAAAAGCAGCGACTGACAAAGCAACTCAACCTAATGCTTTTACTTTCTGTACCACAAATTACATTACATGACCTTACATAATGCTACACTACATTGCTGAACCATCCATTTCGGGGGCTCAAAAAAAGTCAAGGGTCGATGGCAAGCCCCAGTTCTTGATCTCGGTTAGTACAACCCATATAACCAAAAACCAGCAGCTAGCAACCATTTATGGCATCCCAATCTATATTGGATAGCATCCCTGTCTGAAAATTCCCAAGGATTCTATGGCTTCAGTGAATTTACATCCCCATCTCCATCAATTCATACCGAAGTTGTATCATGTGTTGACTATTCATACCTAGTATACCCAGACATGTCCAAATACCCAATCCCCATCAATTTATATCCTGTGTTCTGCCATATTGCCATATTGCCATCAACCACCAACCAACCATGAGTTTTGTCAAGCTATACATCTTAATGTCTAGATGTTTAGCACCATTTATGGATATGTGTGGCTTATATCCCACTTCTTCTTCGTTAAACATCCCTATTTTCCAAGGCTCGTGTGCTGCTGGTGCTCGAAACTGATGAGGTGCTGCTGAAGGTTCGGGTGCTACCTCGGTGGAAGCGTCAAAATCAACTCACCCGGCACTTTTTGCCACGAACACAAGAAACATCAACCAACCAGCGAAATTTAAGCACTGTTCATCAGTTCATCCTCCAGTTTCAGCAGTTATTCCATCCCATAGTCCCACAGTCATGTTCAGATCATTCCCATTTTCTCCCGGGGGAAATGTCCATGTCCCCCATGGCAGCCATGGCAGCCATGGCAGCACTTGCAACCTGAGGAACTACTGGATGTTCCGGTGGTGCTGCTACTACTAGAGCTGGAACTGCTGGAACTGGTGGTGGAAGAACTGGAAAATGTGCTGCCTGGGATGGTGGGGTTTTCCACAAAATGCTGGGGTTAAGATTTGGCTAAACCCAAAACTGGGAGATACAACAATTTCTGATCTTCATTTTTCTGTGAATGTGGAACATGATGATAAACCATTGGATTTCGAGGGTACCCGAAATGCTGGCGGCTGAAATTTGGGTTTTGGATGGTTTTGCTTTGTCTGACGAGATAATTACACCTCAAAAACCCACGCTTGCTCATGTTCCCCAATACAATGGCAATTTTTGGGGAAAAACATCCAAAAATGGTGGAT